TATAGGACACAAAGGGCAGGTGTTCTGAAAATCAGATGGGTGTGAAAATTTCCTAAAAGGGTGTGAAAGATGAGGGAGGGCCAGAGGAACACATTGAACTTGGTTTGATGTTGATTGGTTTAAGAATTAAAAAGTTATTACAATTTATCCAACTGCAATAATGATACACGGTTATAGGACACATATGGCTGGTGTTCTGGAAAACAGATGGGTGTGAAAATTTCCTAAAATGGTGTGAAAGATGAGGGAGGGCCAGAGGAACACATTGAACTTGGTTTGATGTTGATTGGTTTAAGAATTAAAAAGTTATTACAATTTATCCAACTGCAATAATGATACACGGTTATAGGACACATATGGCTGGTGTTCTGGAAAACAGATGGGTGTGAAAATTTCCTAAAATGGTGTGAAAGATGAGGGAGGGCCAGAGGAAGTCATTGAACTTGGTTTGATGTTGATTGGCTTAAAAATGACAGTGGTATTACAATTTACAAGTGGTGTTATGCTGATTGGCATTGCACTTTTAAGACGGTCCCTAAATTTTCCGGCAATTTTGTGCGAGCAGAACGATATTCCCATCTTGCTTTGTATTCTTAATTCATATTGCTGGAGAATGTGGAGCTAACTTAAAGTGTGAAATATTGCCCTCGTTTAACTTCACATGTGGAGCCTAATCTGAAAAGAATTGCCGTCATGATCCCGAAGATATTGCAGTTTTGATGTCAGTAAATGTGGCGAATATCGAACATAAAACCAACTTCACCGCGCTCCTTAAGCGACCCTTCGTCACAGTAATGTTTAGTATAAAAACAACCGAACGCTGGGTCTCAAAGACGTTAAATTTGGCGAGTAATACAAGAGAGGTTGCATACAGTTATTGCATACTGACTAGGTGACAGTGAGATTACAAGGCATACTATTAGGTATTTTAACTAGTACATCACAGAAAATTGACAGATCGACTTACCCTGCAGATCTTTCTTCTCTTTTCGCTGCTGTTTAAATAACAGATCCTCCGCTGTCTCTGGGTCCGCCATGCTTTCTGTAATTTCCCCAAATCCGTTTCTGTAAATTACATGAACCAGATGACTAACATGCTGACTGGCGATCAACAGGCCAGGCGCAGCACTACGTTTTCGCCTCCTGGGCGCTTCCGGTGCTCCGCGGCGCCTCTCATTGGTCCGTGGAAAAGCAGCGTCACGCCCCACAAAGATGCGCTACAGCATAAGAGACAATCACACCCCAGCTCATGTCGGTGTTCAGCAGAATCCCACCTCTCATTTTCCAATACGGTGTATTATTAGGAAAACACTTAAAGGTTAATAAATATTTTTTTCTCCCCCAGTTACTTATAGACAGATGCGTAGTTAATCTGGTGACGCTGGATAAGGTCGTATTCGGTTGACTACGTCGACTAAATCTGAATGTCCCTTGAAATTGAATTCAACCATCTCTCTGTTATTACCGTATCTTTTCGACGTACGCTAGACGCAGAACGTCATTGTCCAATAGCAGCGCACGTCGCTTACGTAGATCTGGGGGGTGGTTCTGCTGTCCCTGCGCACGAGTGATTTGTGCTCTTTCAGCTGGCTGCCTATGTGTGTAGTTATTCGCTGGAACCTGTACGAAATTCTACTAGAAATAACCGGCGTCACCGTAAAACTCAGTGAGTGCAGGGCAATTAAATTGGGCATTCAGGATTCTCTCATACAGGCCTCTATTTTCCAGATATATCCAAGAATGATAACATTTTGTATTGTATTTATAACATTATTCATCTTAATATTTTCCCCAAAAGAAAACTCAAATGAACTCTTGTGTTCCTATAGTATAACAGGCAGGATGTCGAAGAGACGTTATCTAAACGCTTTTTATAAGCTTAATACCAGTTTTCCCTACATGCGAGTCGAAGTGACCATGAATACTCTGGATTTTAATTTATAATCTGATTATTCAGTTGCACTATATTTATTCCACCCTTTTATGCTGCTGTATTTATTTTTACCTGCACATAGCACTATGAATGTAAACCCTCGTGCCCAGCCCCCTGTTTGACACTGTCCTGTGTTTTGCACTTTGCCGTGAAAACCCTCCCCTCATCACTAGCTGCTGTTTGTATGTCGCCCCGGGGTCCCTACGTATGGATGGTATGACAGACTTGACTTTACTGCATGTGCTGCCCGAAATCCGGATCTGACACTGGGAGCCAGACGCGTCTCTCCGATGCGCTTTATTAGCGGGGGTGGGCTGATCTGCAGGCTCCAGATAAACAGCGCCGCACCCCCAAAGTCGCGCTGAAGCCCCGCCCACGGAGCGCCGCCCATCGGTACCGGCGGCCCGTTCTCGGCTGCGCTGCTTCCCGTCGGCGGCTCTCTGTGCACCGTAATAGACAGACATGGCTTCGGATGGCATGGACGAGCGGTCCCCGCTGCTGTCAGTCCCGGACTCGGGCAGCGTAACTCCCACGGCGCCGCCGTACCTGCAGGACGGCAGCCCGAGAGGTGAGCCGGGCCGGGTCGAGCCGTGCTGATTCATTTCGGGCGTTTCGCGGGAGGCTGGCAAGGGCACCGGAGCCCGGACTGCGCAGGCCTGCGTTTGGTGCGGCGGTGGGGAGACGGCGCCCAGTGACCCGCCCGCAGGCCGCTCTGAGAGGGGGACGCCGGCGCCCCGTTTGCGGTGACCCGTGTCGGCCCGTCTCGGCCGTCCGTGAGCCCCTGATCAGCTCCCGGGTCTCGGCACTCTTTGTGTCGCTCCTCCCTGGCCCTCAACCTCCTGCAGCCTCGTCCGCAGAATATTACCGGGCGTAATTAAGACGAGGCGCTTTAATTAGTGCGGGTCGGTCTGCGGCTTAAAGAGCAGAAAGCCGCATATGTGACCGCCAGCAGGGCCGGGCTGCACCCCAGACTCCCGGCCCCCGCAACGCGCCGCTTTCCCCCGTTAACGGGCAGCTGCTGCGCTTCTCCGCTCCTGCTACTGGAAGAGTCATTTTGACGGGCTACATTTAGTTTTATTTTTAGCATTTTGGGGGCTTTAAATAGCGGCGGTGGCATGTCTTGTTTTCTGTTTATGTTAAAATCCGTCTTAAGCACTAAAACATGGAGCCGCTTTCGGCTGTCACACCGGGCTGCCCTGCTGTCTTTCATTATGGGCACGGTCGTCGTGCTCGTTTATCTTATACATCTGCGGTCTTTGCACCTCACTGATGTCAGAAACAGCCAAGGTGCCACAATAAAGGACTTGCCGATTGTAACCCCCTAAATACACAGTACATATCTGATGGACTGTTACTGTCCTGTGTGTCTGTACGTGGTAAATGGATAGACGGTGTTTCCATGCACAATAAGCCTGATTCAGTTTAATGAAACTGCAGTTTTACTGTTGTGTGATTATTCATATAATGTTCTATGTGACATGGTTGCTAATGTCGGTGTCACTTTTTTCGAGTTACTTAAATGTCAGTAATATTTGGAATATCCGTGTTGTGATGCGCCAGACCATGTCTGGCAAAATATCACCGTCATGAGAGTATCTTGGTAGTGAAACTGAACCAAGAAAAATTATGGAGTAGATTATGTGCATAGGGTGGCAGGAGTGTCACGGAAAAACGAGCTGCTCAACAGATGAAAGGATGCAGTTTTGTTTATGCAAGGTTTTCGATTAACGGTAGCTTGGCTGCTGTATAGATGCATTGTTATAGATCAGTCATTCCAATATAATCAATGCTGGGTAACCTGGGAACTATTTAACTGCTACTAGAATCACAGGCTACTGTGGGTTTGCTTAGGTGCTAGTTTATGCTTTTCTATATATGAAAGTCAGTAATGGTGCAGAACTTGGAAGAAAATCTAAGACTCTGTGTACTGCCTATTTGCCCCTTTTTAACAGTTATCATGGCAGATTTGACATCATTTGGTTCACTTGCCAGTCTATAATTTAGTAAATTACTTAAACTGTCAGTCGGACTTGCCAGAACACTATTAGAAAGGAATTTTAAGCTTGGTGATTCATAGCAAGACCCTTATTAATGCAGCTTTCTGGAAACCAAAAGGAAAATAAGAGAAAAGCAGGATGTTGAACATGAGTTTGTGTAAGTTGGCTTATCTCCATATCGTGAAATATCTCATTTTCAGACTCTACGAATTAACAAGTCAGTCAGTTAATCTGCTGTTCTTAGGAATGCCATGGGTTGCCCTGGGGGTGGCTCTGTGGCCTCACTCCTCCAGGCCTGTGGCTTTGCATCCTTGCTCTGTATATGTAGAGTTCGCATGCCCTGTGTGTGTGTGTGTGTGTGTGTGTGTGTGTGTGTGGGTGTGGCTTTCCTTAACATGGTCTGGTTTTCCACAGTCCCAAAATTTGCAGTCAGTTTGTCTCTGAATTTCCCCAAGTGTCATTGGGTGTGTCTGTGCGTGTCCTGCGAAGGACTGGCGTCCCGTGCGTTCTGGGCTGGACTCCAGTTTCACTGCGACTAGATAAGCACTTATGGAAGATGGATGGATTGGTACTGGTTTTGGTTATGTTTTGCTTGGGAATACGCTGGGCTGACATCCTGTGAGCACAGTTAGCGGTTATCGTTTAGTTAACCTGCCTGAATGTTTCTGTGATCGATTATATCGAAGTGCGTCTTGCTTTGTTGTCGTCCCCAGCAGCTCACGCCGGTGGCCCTGCTCCTGTCCTGAGATCTGCAGTGGCCATGCTGTTGTTTTCATCGCCTCTGTTCCCGCCGCCCTCTCCCCAACCCCCTGCCTTAAATCTTAATTTTTTTTTGTATTGTACTTGTGTCACAGCCGATAGGTGCAGAGGAGTCAGTCTGGTAACATATAATAACTGCAGAAAATGGGGATTCAGCACAGCTCCCCCTCGGTTGGCACACTTGCAAAATTTCAAAATACTGGAATAGCATTGCTTTTCAAAATACTGTATACAGCACTGTTAGTGTCTGGGAGGTATGAAAAACCATACTCTGCCCGAGCCTAGTTCAGAGTTCATGGATTGCCAAGACATGGATTCTGCTGATTTCCGTGGCTGCTCTGATAAGCACCGATTGTGTCAGTGCTTCTTCAGATCTGCTGGTTACTGATTTCCAGTTTGGACGCTCCCTGAAATCTGCAGGCCATCAGGCCACTGATCAGCAGGAGGTCACATGTCACACTCCCCGGCGGTGTCATTCTCCCCATTTTAACAAAGAGGTCAGAGGTCACGTTTTTTTTTTGTTTTTTTTTTTAGTTCAAACAGAAGGGTGCTGATTTGAGCGTTTTGCACGCCCAACAGCTTCCTCAGGTTTGTGGCCCCTGAGTTATCAGCCCAGGTGTGTCATGGGTTCTCGCCTCTCACCCAACCCATTCCTCCAAGGTATCTAAGTCTGTCCTTCATTGTATATCCAGCATCGGCAATAGATGTAAAGGCCATAGTGTGGTTGAGTGCCAAGCTTCTTGTAGATACCAGGTGAGGTGGGTGGAGAAATAGGAATATACCTGTTTCATACCTGATATGACTCCTCACACTGTGCAGAGGTATATCTGCTGCTGTTTTGTTTTTTGTTTTTTGACATGCATACTTCCTCTAAGCTTTTTGGCATAAGGCTGTGTTTGTCAACCAGTCCTCGGGGATGCACCTGTACCAGGGATTCGGTGTTCATTGTTTGGTTCAGGCGAGCTGGGAGGGAGCAAAAATGTGATCCGCATGGGGGTCCCCGAGGACTGGGTTGAGAGACACTGCCTTTGGCCAGGTCCTCTTGGGACGGGTCTCTCCCAAGCACAATGAAGCGTCCTGAAACATATCCATGTTCTGCTTGTAGCGGAGCTTCCTCCCCCTTACACGGCCATCGCGAACCCCGATGCCGCGGGCGTCCCCGTCATCAACTGCCGTGTGTGCCAGGCCCTCATCAACCTGGACGGGAAGCTCCATCAGCACGTGGTCAAATGCACGACTTGCAATGAGGCCACGGTAAGAGGCTGCTGCTCTCTCCCATCCTGCTCTGTTTATCAAAAGCACCCATTTCTGCCAGTGTCCCCATTGATGAGCTGCTCGATTATGGCAAAAATCATAATCGCTATTCTTTTGGTCAATGCTCACATCACGATTCTTTATCATGATTACCCATTGACTTTGGAAATGTCATCCGTTTATTTTAACAGTGGATTTCCTTGAACTCAAAAGATAATTCAACTGCGAAACAACTGAAAAGGGGCTGGAAAGGGGTGCAATGGATTTGTAACACAAGACAAAAGAGGAGCATCATTGCAAAACCAAATGCAGCACAGTAATTGTTTTATCACAATTGTTTTGATGATCGTTAGAAGCCAAAATTAAAATTCAGGTTAATTGCCCAGTCCTGCTCCTCAGCTCCTCACTCACTGATGTACCAGTGCGCCTTTGTGAATCTGAAAGGCACAGTCATGCTCTCGGCCCCCATTGGATAAGGGTGCAGGAGCAGCTTAGTTTGTAGTGCTCCTAGTGCAGCACTGGGAGGGACATGCTGAGGTCACATGATGGTCACATGATGGTCTCATGGTCACATGATGGTCTCATGGATGTCATGCCTTTTAGCTCGTAAAAGTCAACGAAAGTAGTGGATCATGCTACCTATAGACCTTCTAGAGATAAACATCGGCTCAGGTTTCAGCCATTAGAAGTTCCTGTCCCTATAATGCATATACAGTCAGGAACATGATTAATGCAAATTCATGCTGTGAAATGCTTGTATAATTATAACCTTCTGACCCTGGTCAGTTTAGATCATTTATAAATGAGTAACTGTCTGATGAGCAGTCTAGGATTAAAAAAATATATATTAGAATCATTCCCTAAGATTGAGATGGTAACTTTAAGGAATTCCATTTCCCGTTTCTTTATCATTCCTTCCGGAAGATTCAAAATGCTATCAGCCAGATCCTTTCATCGATCTCTCACTCTTCATCACGTCTTTGTGTCGGTGACAGCTGTTGCGGGATCCTGGTCCCTGCGCTGTCAGCCCTGCCGCTTCAGGCTAGTTTGGGGGGGTCTGATGTTTGGTGATGTCCTGTGGGTCGACCAGCATGGGGGTGTCATGCCGCCGTGGCTCATTGTACAGCATGTCTGAATTGTGGCCCATGGTGTTGGATTTGGCCTAGAGTCAGTGCAGCCATGGCAGACCCCCCCCCCGCCGACTGTGACTTGTTACTAAGAGGATGTTTCCTCCTTCCAGCCAATCAAAAACCCACCAAATGGAAAAAAGTATGTGAGATGCCCATGTAACTGTCTGCTAATCTGCAAAGACACGTCTCGGAGGATAGGATGTCCACGACCTAACTGGTAAGGGGGGGGGGGGTCTTCATTTGAATGATAGCATTTGACATTTTTTCCTCGAGTAAATATAGGTTTGCTACCTCAACCTCAGTCTTTCCCAATCTGGTCCTTGGGGACCCGCAGACAGTCCAGGTTTTCACTCCCTCCCAGCTCCCTGTAGGGAGGAAAGATGCAAACTGTCTGGCAGGGAGCTTGAAAGAAGCAAAAACATGGATCGGCTGTGGGTCCCCAGGGAGCGGATTGAGGAAATGCCGCCCCAGCTGTTTGCCGAGTTACATTAAACCACAGCAGACCCACGAATAAGGTTGACAGTGTTTAGGTTCTATGAGTGAACGTGGAAATCGTGAGCAACCTGAGCACGATGCTGTTGTGTCGTCCCCTTATCCCACAGCAGACGCATCATCAACCTGAGCCCGGTGATGGTGATTCCGGAGGAGCAGCCCGCCCAGCCTGCCCTCCCCGTGCAGCCCGAGGGCATGCGTGTGGTGTGCGGACACTGCGGCAACACTTTCCTGGTGCGTACACTGTCCAGTGAAACGGCACACTGAGCGGGCGGGTGGGGCGGCGTCTGCGTGTGGATCTGCTGTGCGGACCAGCACTGCTGTAGCAGATGTCCTCCCCTCCCTGTCCACACATTTACACCCCTGGCATTTTGGGATAAATTAAAATAGACAGATGGTTAAGCAGTGCGGGGCAGTGCAGTGACGCAGTGATTCAGTGGTTAGCACTGTTTGCCTCACACCTTTTGGTATATTCTCCCTGTACTGTCACAGGGTTTCCTCTGGGTACTGCGGGTTCCCCCCAACGTACAAAAACATGCCGAGGTGAATTGGAGATGCTAAAATTGCTTATAGGTGTCCCTGTGTGACTGTGCCCTGCGATTGGGTTGGGGCACCAACCTGGGTTGTTCCCTGCCTTGTTTCTGTACCCTCAGACTGGTTATAATTCTAAAGAGAACATAACCCAACCCAGGTCTCCACTTTGTTTTGATGTCATCTTGGCGAGGGTGGTGCTGTGCCATCAGGTGGATCTGCTGGGAGGGGGGGGCAGCGGCGAGAGGCTCCGGGACTCGTGATCCACGGCGTTTGAGCTAAACCGCACAGCTCCTGACGTTCTTCTGTCTGTCTTTGTCTGTAGTGGATGGAGCTGCGATTTAACACACTGGCAAAGTGTCCACACTGTAAAAAAATGTAAGTTTGTCTCTCTTTCCTGACCTGATTCCCTTCGATGATGTCAGTTTACCAACTTAAGCGCTGAGCTTTCTGGAGACTTTCCATGTGCAACCGTGTGACTGGTGTTATTCTGTGAGCAAACAATAAGAAAAATATTTGGGGGGGGGGCGTGTTACACTGTAGATGACCCCACTGAGACTAACTGCTCAGGATCCTGCAGCTGTGGGATTTCAGCTGCTTCCCCATACTGTACATGCGTGTAGCTTCTCATTTGCTCCGATGCTGCTTTTTGAAAAACCCCAAGTAGCTTCACCGTAACGTAACTATCAGATTCTTTTATCCAACGTGACGTACAGTTGAGAAAGCATAGTCAGCTAATCCCTGGAGCAGTTGGAGGTTAAGGGTTGCGGGATGTGAACCAGCGACCGTGTGATCAGACTGTGTCATAGCCCTCCGAGCCAGTGAGCAGTTGGGTCTTAGGGAGATGGGGATGGGAGGAGTCTGTCACTGGTGATTGGTTTGCATTTTGAGGGCTTGTTGGGTTCACTTTGATGTAATGTGGGGGTGGTCAGGAACGAGTAATGAGGTGATGGAATCCTTGGTCCGTGCTCACATGTGACCAAGCCGGGTGCTTCGCTGCCTCAGATTAAGCGGCTTTTAGTGCAAAGTGTGAGAGCAGGTAATTCTCAGGGCTCAGGGTGGGAGCAACTGCTAAAAGAATAAAATAAAACCTCTAGATGTTCCCATGTGGTGAAAATGGAGATTAGCAAAGCCAGCTGATTCATTCCCCAGTCCCCAGGGCTGATTCCCAATTCAGTCACATGGCAGACATGTGAAGGGGGCACTGTGGTCATGTGACGGGACTCAAGTGCCTGAGAAGGAGGTTTTGTGCAGCGTGGAGCTGAGATTAGAGCACAGCGTGCAGCTGGACCAAACCCAATAATTCGAATTAAGCATCATGGCTATTTTCCTCCAGATCCTCTGTGGGCAGCGCCCTTCCACGACGGCGCTGTTGTGCCTACATCACAGTGGGCATGATCTGTATCTTCATCGGGATTGGCTTAACTGTGAGTACGAGCCCCGAATACCCCAGCGGCGCCTCCAGGGCCTGGCGCAGTGCCACGCGGGCCTGTCCCTTTACCCTTCTTCTGGTGGTTTTCAACAACCTCCTCCTGCTTTAAAAAGCCTAAGAAACGACCTGATCGAACACAATCGCTTACCGTAATCATATTTCGTATCATTTTGACAATTGTTAAAATATCGAATATAGCAGTGCAGCTAACTTTATGTAAATAATTCTTCAAATCCTGATGGACCATAACAATTTAGAAATGTTTGTTCTTGACCATGTCCAATGCACATAATGTTGTAACAGATTTTACTGAAATCCAAGTCCAGGAAGGGAACTCTTACTGACTTACTCTTGCTCTGACTCCCCTCCCCATCTCTCATATTCGATCTTACTCTCACCCTTTCTATGACTCTTGCTCTGACTCCCGCCATGCCTCCCTTTCTGTCTGTCAGGTGGGCACGCAGGACTTCGCTAGACGCTATCACGCTACATACGTATCCTGGGCCTTCGCCTACCTTCTGGGCCTGGTGTGCCTGGTGCGGGCGTGTTACTGGGGCGCCATCAGAGTCAGCTACCCCGAGAACAGCTTCGCGTAGATGGGGTCTAGCAGGAAGCACCTGTCCCCTGCAGCTTGTTTAGGCCCAGGAAACCCCAATCCAACCCAGGTTGTCATGGTCACAGTCAAATACCACATATTTACTGTACAGTAAGTGATTGTCCAATGTACTCATTCATTTGGTTGGTGGTGTCATGACCAAACAGTTTTTTCCATTTACTCAAATAATGAATAACGTACTAAAAGTAGTCTTAATAATTGTGTTGATTTGATGGTCAAACTGTTAGACACACCTCTGGATTTGGGCTATCTAGGGCTGGGACCTGCTCTTACTCCCTGGATATTTTCCAGTTTTAAGTATTATGTTTTGTTACCAACTTGACCAAATGAGGTTAACCTTGTAAGAACTGCCCATTGCACTACTGTTTTATGCAATCATGATCAGCTGCTAGAATGGCCAGCTCTGATTGGCTGAGAGGTCATGCATTACGTCAGAAGGTCCCACCGTTTTTATTTTCAGTGTGTAGTGAACTTGTAGACATTTTAATTGCTAGAATGGCCGGCTCTGATTGGCTGTGAGGTCACATGTCATGTTGGAAGGTCCCACCCTTTTTATTTTCAGCCTAGTGAACTTCTAAACATTTTATTTGTATGGTGTGCCTGTGCTGTATGATGGGCATCCAGGGCACCGCTGGTTTACATCTGGGTCTGTGTCTTCATGCTGAATTACACCATCCTGCTTTGTTTCATTTCAAAGAATAAATCTGGTTTGTCATTTTGAGAAGTGTGTTTGCACCATACTGTAACATTTTAATTGCCTTTGAAAAGTAGACAGTTTTTCGAAAGGCATTGGAATTGCTTTTGCATGACTTTACTTTTTTTAAAAGAAGAAAAAGTCTGGTAATTTTGTGTTCATGGCCCTGACGAAACAGTCTGAGACCCCATCTCTGCCCCCGGTTGTGGATTGCATTCTGTAAATCCTTCCCGCTTAAAGCTTGATTCTTGGATTGCTAGATTTCCTATAGCATTACAGTAGTACTACATTTTGTTGCGAAAATGGGCACAATCGTGTTCTGAATGTGGAGAAACACACGCTTTGTACATAATACACAGAACCAGTTGTTTGAGTTGGAATATGGCGTGGGTCTTTTTAAAAAGGATAATTTATCAATAAAAACTCTAAAACATTGTGATGTGTGTTTCCTGACTGTGATCGATGTCTCTTAGAGTGACCTAGAGTGTTTTTTTTGGGTGAATGTTACTAGTGGACTGCAAGGCTTTCCTTGCAAAGCACTCTTAGGGTTCCTCGCATGCAAAAAACCAAGCCAACACAACTCTTGGCACAATAGTGCCCTCTAGTGGAGTGGGACAGTTTCAGTATTGCTGATTTTGGAAACTAAATAACTTGATATAATACGCCTCTGCTTTGCGGGGAAAATGTTTCAGAGAAAATAAGGCATATTGGCAAACATTACAGTGTGAGCTGTTGCGATTTTCCCGATCAGTGGGCCTCTTCACTATCAGCAGCTGGTGATCGAAGGCTTCCGGGGTGATTCCATTGGATGATTTTGCTGTTCTGAGTTGTGGTCTCGGTGCACTTCTCCACTTTATCTTCCTCTTCCTTCCTTTATTTCTCTTATTTATAAGTGGTTATTAGAGATGGAAAAATCGTGCCCATTTAGATCCACTATTCTGGTTTGGGTTTTATACTGAAAACTTCCACAAGATGGTGATATTGACTGTTTTTTTGTGGTTTTCCGCTCTATTAAAGAGTTTGGCTGTTTCATATTTCGGTGCCTGTATTTCTCAGGGTAAATAATCTCCAACTTCCCATGAGAAATGAGGCAGCACGTTATTTACACTCAGTTCAAATGTCCCATAAGCTGCTGCCAGACGTTTGTAATGGGGATGTTTCTCCGTCGAGGATGCTGTAGGTTCCATGCTGTACCTTTTACAACAAACACTTTACTGATTTTTTTTTTCGGTCAATATTCTGCTGTAAAGGTGCTGAACAGTACGTGATGTCGGGAATGAAAACGAATCTATCCAAAAAGGGTCATCCGGACGCTGACCTCAATACAGAAACGCATAGAAATATCCAATATATTGTTTATTTTTTCTTATAGCACAATATTGTTACTTTCACAATATGTATTGCACAATGCATTTGTTAAATAACGGATGAAAAAAGTAACTTATTCAGGGTGTCAACTTATCTCAGACTTAAATGGTACTCTATGCATCTATAAAGAGGAGCGTTGCCATGATGGAGTGAGGACAACATGCACTTAAAGAACGCCTGTCTTTGCGCATTAAGTTTAAAGTCTGGAGGCAGATGGATATTTTATTTTAATAAAATACTGGCAGACGCTTTGAAACACTGTTTTTACCCCATGAAAGGAAAAGCTACATCTACTGCAAATTCCTTTCACAACACAACGTGAAAGCGACCTGATCTGTGCGCTATTTATAATAGTGGACCGTTCTCCGGTGGAACCAACACCCTGATGGTCTTAGTGTAATGAATTTGGAAGACAGTATGTTACAATTCAACTAAATGGTGCTGTTTGCTTCACTACGAAACTCCTAGACTATAACCAAGGTGTTCATACACGGCAAAATTTATTCACGAAATAATCTCAAAAACTGCTCAGATGTTTATGCACGTGGACACAACCGCACTAACCAACAAATGTACGCTGTGCACTGTGTAAAGTCTTAGATCGAGTCATACACTAATAATACAGCATAATAAATCACGTGAGCAGCAGGGGGCGCTATGCATGGACTAAGGGTTCAGCGTCTTTTTGTTTCATGGCGTTCACCAGCACGAGGGGTAGCTTCGGCGGCTCGCGTGATCACAGGCAGGCCTCCATGCCCTGGTCAGTTATTGTTCAGAACCCACCATGAAGCTGATGAAGAAAAGGAAAGACCACGGTTAGGAAACATCACCCCCGAGAGTAAAGTCTGCTTTAGCCTGCATTCAGACCATGGGAACTTTCCTTCTAAAAGTTGCCAGGTATAGTGTCTTTAAAGGATGTTCATTCCATTGTCAGATGCCTGGAAGAGCAATAATGACTATGACAATATGTTTCGTCAGTCCTACAGGCCAAGGTTATTCAAATCATGGTCCTCAAGGGCCCAGCACTGCTGGTTTTCCAGCCTTCCTTCACCTGTGAGCCAGGTGTGAAGCCTCTGACCAATCAGAATCAGTAATTATTAAACTAACTACCTGGAAGAACTGAAAACAAGGCCTGGATTTGGAATCGAGGTCCAGATTTGAAGAGTCCTGCTATAGGCGACACAGGTAGCCACCCAGGGCACCACCTACTGATGGGGGTGCCGACTTAGCAAACCACAGGAAGGAACATGCATACGGAACAGGCGGTAATGTACCGGGAACCAGCATAGTGGTGACGACCTCGGGGCTCTCCAGGAAAGGAACATGCATAAGGAACAGGCGGTAATGTACCGGGAACCAGCATAGTGGTGACGACCTCGGGGCTCTCCAGGAAGTCCACGTTGCACCTCTGGAAAATCTTACTGTGGTTGGCCTGAAGGTGGCTGCAAGCAGAGACAGGAAGACCCACGCTAATCACATTCTTCCTGGGGGGGAACCCTACCAAGCCCGGGGAAGGGGATACAACTGGTTCATTTTTCCCAAGGTTGGGCTGCTGCCAGGATAGTCCTGCATTAACACAGTGCTGGTGCTTTCTCTCTGCGTTCACACTTACTTCTTCCAGACGCTGCTACATTCCCAGAACTCATAGACCGTGAAGCGGGATTCATCAGCCAGCTTCTGTACCGCGATGCTGCCGAGAAAGACGTAAACAGGAGAAACGTGCTGGATGTTCGCAAGCATAGTTACGGCGGGTTTTTCTATCTATTAATGAAAATAAAGGAAAGGAGAGGACTGGGCATGGAGTCAGCAGGGATGCTGGTCGATCGAGGACACGGAGGCCGGAGTTCAGGGCGTGCCGGTTTTCCTGTGGCAGGGAAGCCCATTGTTGCAGCCTGTAAGTCTGCCCTGTGCTCCACAGAGACATTTCCGCCCCAATGGGCAGCTTGCTTTGGGTGGAACCCAGGGAGTATCGCTCTGCTCCATCTTTTAACGAAGCAGAGGAGGGAACACGTGTCTAATGTAACTATGCTTTATTTGCCATCTGCAAAGGTACATTAGAAAACTTGTTTTCACATAAACTACCTTCTGTCCTTTGAGACAGACACACAGTAGAGAGCAAGGCTTGGGGTTAGGGTCAGGCCATTTATCCACCTCCCCTGGAGCATTTTGGGAGGGGGGGGTTGTTCAGGGCCTTGCTTAAGTACCCAACAGTGATGCGACTATTCTGCCAAAGGCAGGATTCAAACTAGTGACCTTCCAAGCACCGAGGCTGAACCTGCTGAGCCACATGTCACCACAAGCTACTGTCACACAGAGAAGGATGCCTGTGCTGGGATTAACTGCTCATTCCCGAGTGGGGAATACTGTCTTAAGAAAGGAAGGACCTAGATCAGCGTTTTACAGCAGGTCAGTCCACCTAGGAAGCGGACATTCGGTGTGACGGCCGTGCTGAGAGCCGAGCTGCAGTTAGCGCTGCGTCGGTCTCTATGGCTGCTGCACGCTGCACACTGCACACTGCACACTGCACACTCCTGCGACAGTGAACCGACCCATTTGCTGGAGGGTGTCAAGCATTACGTGAGCTACTGAGGGCCCCCAGATTACTGGGGTGGTTGTAGATGTTTGGCATGTGGCCCTACCTTCTAACTTAGAAGTTCCCAATCATTTGATGTCCGGGCAAAAAATGTCACGGATTGGTAAAACCGGGAAGGTGGGGGTGGTGGATTCTAGTGGCAAATTGAATGGTTGTGGTTCCAGGTAAGAAACCCCTTCTCTAACTTGCTGCTTAAATGGCCCTGTGATCTCAATGCCGGTCTGTGAGCCAAGTGCCTTCTGTCACCGAGGAGTGTGAGCTTTGAGAATCAGCAGACTGGATGAGAAGCGAAAGTGAAAGCGAGTGCATCTGTGGCCTGAGAGAACTCACTGCAGGCAGCCGTTCTGGGTGCCGCTGCTCTCGACATACTGCCGGAGGGCCAGACGGAAGTCCTCCATCTCCTCCTCCAGAACCAGCAGCTGCCGCTGGACGATCAGAATGTGCTGCAGAGAAAGGCAAGAAAGGAGAGAGATTCAAGATGGGGCTCCTTCAGTCACTTGACAGCAGAGCATAGCATAGCCACCGTTCTGGGTCACTGTAAGGTGCAGGCTTTCCGATCTCGGTGATGTCAAGGATGGTAGAATATATTGTAGAATGAATTTGTCTTTGGGCAAACAGGTCACATGATGCGTGGGTCACTTTGACTGCTGTGCTACATTTATAGCTCTGATTTCCCCAGGATCCATAGTGTTGTGGGGTCTTGGGATGAGTGTTAAGAACGACTCATTCTGAGTGAGTTACTGGTTTGGTCGTCCCTCCCGAAACTTCTTCTTCGACAGGTTCAAGCCGCAGCTCCTGTGGAAGAAAAAATTACATCAATCCTGGGTTACTGGGACCTGTGATTTTGGCATATTTGTTAGGATGGATCCTGGAGGTTTGAGGAGATACAGATGCGGTAGAGAAGAAATAATTACATGGGAACAAGGAGGCAGCAAATACATGTTGTTATTCACAGTGCAGCTCGACAAAAACTGACATTTCATAAAATAACAGCTGTGCTAAGAATTGACATCTCAGTACCTTAGTCTCTAAGCGGTCAATGAGCTTCTGTAGTCTGTTGATCTGAGTCATCCATCTGTTGTCCTCTTCGTAAAGACCTGACACACGTGACCATCGGAAGACAAGACGGACGGCTTTCACACCGTTCGCATTTTTGACATCAAAGATTTCACCTTTTCATAGGCAGGTGGGGCCTCAGTTTGCAGAAGCGTCATGCTGACGTCTGTGCTTCAGGCTGCACTACACTGTTAGAGTTATTATTCTGAAAACTATCTTTTCCAAAGATCCAACAGATGGACCCAATGCAACATACTGGCTGTAAATAAACATTTTATAAGTCAGCAAAGATGAAAGTATTAAGTAAGAGGCTTGGTCTTTTTTCAGTGAAGCGGCCTGCATGCCATCCCTGAACAGGAAGTCACCTGAATTGGCATTGCTGAGGAAGGAGGTGATTGGAGAAAGGCTGTTATTCCTTTGAAGTCTCCTGTTTGATCGTCTGCCTGAGCACTGGATAGCTAGCCCCTCCGGCTTCGCCGGTCCGTGCCTGCGAACAAAACACACAGAGCAGGCTTCCCTCACTGGGACGGAGCCCTTGCCACCCCCCCTCCCGCTGCCAAACTGTATCTTTTTTTTTTTATGTCGTGCACAGTCTTGCCCATAACCATTCAGGGGCGAAATATGCAGATTCCTCCACAAGAAAAAGCAGCAACCGATGAGATCCTGAGTGATGTCAAGCCTAAGGAGCAACCTTTCTGTCAGAAACACTAACGTCACACAGACAAAATGTGACTCCGGTGCCTCCGGAGGTCGATATCAGAATGTCTGTTTGCCTTTCCATCCGTACACCCCTGCAGGTTATAGAGCGGGGGGGGGTCTCTTGTTACATCCCAGCTTGGTCACAGGGTTCTTCAAATCTGTGCTAAGTGACTGTACAGAGCCACACACCCGAAGACAGACCCGACCCCCCCCTCCACAGGGCTCGGCCCTCATCATTCCCCCCGCTGCTTCAGGGAGCTTCAGAGAACCACATCAGACAGAATAGCAAACAAAGAACGCAGGTTCACTTCGCCCTGGACACCAGCCACTGAAAGCAATACTGACAATGACAGGAAACAATAGCAGCAATAAGAATATAAACATCCCTCCGTTTCACTCCTTTAATGTGACCTACCCACAAATTCTCAGCTGCTTATCCTGAGTAGTGTTTGGGGGGGGGGTTGAAGCCTATGAAGGCACAAGGCAGCATGGGGCACAACGTGGGGGGTCCAGCCTGGACAAAAGGCAGGCCAGCCTAACAGCATGTCACCATAATGACATTTCTGTTTTTCAGGTAGATCTGTGAACCCTGCCTGTCAAGTTAAGGTCAACTCCACTGCTAGTTCAAAAATCACGCTAAATACGATCAATTAATTATAACACACTATAATAAAATTAATATAGAATTTAATAATATATAATAAAATCATTTTTTTGTCACCTTTTATTTTGAGGCATCTGTATTTTGACCTGACAGTCAATATCATGACCTAATTTATTCAAGTTCAGATTGTAAAATGGCCCCAAATACTGTTCTTCCCTGCATAAAACGGAAAAAACAACTTGCTGAAGTTGCGCGTCCAGATATTCCTGGATTTCTAAGACTGTCCAAGGCCAGCAGTTCAAACAACGTTTTCTTAGCTTGCTAACAGTTTTCTTTCTGCCTGTGGAGAAACTCGATTTAATCTTGAGGCAGATTGGCAGTGGGTTGTGCAGAAGGTCTCTTTATGCGAGCAAAGTGGCACAGCCAACTTGGGGGTGGGGGCCTGTCATCGGAGGGACTTCTGAAATAGAAATATGTGCTACGGCTGTTAACATGTTACAGCGTGAGCAATAAAATGTTACTGTTTTATTTGTGCACGTTCACTGGTAATGGAAAATTACGTGTATCGTATTTTGATCGATTTTTCTTTCTGGGTTCTCGCTTGGTATATAGGGCGAGGGGGGGAAATATAGGGCATTGTTTCTGTTTTCTGGTTGATGTAGGAAGGGGGGGTGCATAAGAATTTTAATGAGTATGAACATTACTTTAGGATATTGTTTCATTTTCTTTGAACTACTCTGAATTTATAACATCATTCCACACTGGTGTGCTTTGTGTGATTGAAGGAATTCTTTTTTTTTTATTATTTCTGGTGTACTGATTAAGTTGTAAGTAATTCTACATATCTGCTCTAAACTGTTAATATTGTTTTTTGGTTCCTATTAATATCAATTCATACTTTTTTTTTTAACCTCTTTCCTTGTTATTTGGCCTCTGGACACCTGCTGCTGGACCAAATGAATTTCACCCCAAAGGGGATCAATAAACTCAAGTATAAGTCTAAGTCTAAGTCAACTCTAAGTCTAACCCCAGCTCACCCTTCTGGCGGCTGGATGTAAATGTAGGGACAGCGGGTTTAAGCTTGCCGTTGTCCTTAAGACATGCACTCGCACAGCATGCCCCCTACATTTAGCTTCAGCCCCACGTCCCCGTCAATCTGCGCCATTGACCTGTGCGATCGTGAGGAGAGGTTCTCACCTTTCCGGGCACATCTGCTCCGCGGTGGCCTCCACGGCACACTCCAGTGAGCTCTGCAGTGACTGCAGCTGACTGCTGGTCTCCTTCAGCAGGAAGCGAGTGACGAACTGCTCCAGACGAGAAGATCCCAGGTACTCCTGCATGTGAGAGCCCCGGAGCAACCCCCCAAACATCCTTAAATCATTTATCATCAGACTTATGCAATGAAAGGATTAATCATTAATCCAATGTCCAGCTCAGTGGTACTTTTTATATGAAGTCGTGTATTCCAGTACGTGATTCACACTGCAGTACCAGTAGCACATTAGTCAGTCAGTAGGCTGCTATTTTAACAGAATTTGGGTTTCATTGACAGAGCTCCCAGGATGGGGGTTTCGCAGTGTGTTCACTGGCAGTTTGGAGGACAGCGATCGGATTTCAGAGCACAGAACAGGGACATTAATTATGGTCTGAGGAGGGACTGCAGCTCTAAGGCAGCAAGTTCTCAAACTGACTCTCGTCACTCATCAGCGTGATGTGTGAATGACAGCAGCAAATGGAGTCGTGTTCCAGTGAAACCAGCACTGGGGGTGGCGTGTGGTTTGCGAGGCTGTGTTTATAATCAGGACGTTACAGGTTCAAATCCCTGGGTCTGCTAAGTAATTTCACCACCGGGCCCAGAATTTCCGTAACCCCCCCAGGAGCTGGCAGACTCTTAGATTAGGGTAAACACATCTGCTAAACATATGAAATGTGCGCAGACTTGGGGGGGCTTTAGATCCCCTCTCTGCTCTTTGGGTAGAGGATGCACTTTGTGTGTGTTTCCACCTGTAGTCCAAAGACACACAATTATGCTTGCAGATTTCCTACATTGCCCACAGTCCAGTGCCTTAATTCACCAGGAATCAGCTTTGGGTCCCTGTGACCGGAGGTGGATAGTTCAGGACCAGAAAGTAAAAATCCAGGCCAAAATTTTGTTCCAGCCAACCAGCTGAGTATTCATTGAATGTGACTCAATTGGTTGGTTGAAACAAAATCTTGGTCTGGATTTTTACCCTCCAGACCTAAACTACCCACCTCTGCCAGTGACCTTATGCTTGATAAGTGATTGGAAAATAGATGGATGGGTGATGAGGGAAAGTAGGATATTGGTAACATCTGAGCCTGTAATGTTCTGATCGGAGCTGCTGCTCTTCTGCCATCTGCATCCTCAGCGAAGAAAATCAGAGGAAGCGCCAAGCCGCCTTTTCTCTCCCATGATCCATTTCTTGTTCCAAGGTTACATATGACTCACCTCCCCATCAGCAACTTATCTCACAGAGCAGCTGCCACGGGAAGAAACATTAAATAAACAGCCAGGAGCTTTGAAGAATCACTGACTGCCCTATCACACGTTTTGAAAATATTTCAGTAAAACATTTGATATTTTATTTCTGCTTTATCGCTCGCTAATTCTAAGCATCGCCAAAGCATGTAGCTGGTTGCAGCTATTATTGTCGCAGATTGTGGCACAAAGCCTTTGTCTGAGGACTTAAGTGAGCTCTGAGTGACACGGGATTAATTTAAAAATGACACCCGGGCCACATAATCAGGAAGCGGTGATTAAAAAGACACTGATTAGAGATGCCTTTTATGGGAGCAGTGAGAAATGGGGCAGCACCCTGGCGAAGGAAACACCCTGTCTAATCTAAGATAGTCTAAGACTGTGTTTTTTAAGTATATCTGGCTCTGACTAGGAAGACTGGGCATAATTAAGGAGTAATTCACACATGGGGATGGTGCACATAGAATCAGGTCTTTAGTTACATCTGACAAAGACAACGGGCTTCAGAGGGCCTAGTGCAGCTGTGGAGGACAAACTGTAGGGTGAAAACCTTAAACCTAACTTTAAACCTAACCCTAACCCTAAACCTAACCCTAACCGTCTGACAAAGAAGCATGCAAAAGCCTGCACTTCTGAAAGCCCCGAAACAGCAGGCTGCCGTAGAAGCCATCAGCTTTAAAAATTTGATATTTGTACATGCAAATGAGCTGTGAAGAGTCGTGAGAACAAGCACGACCCCCCCCTACACACCCGGCACACTCACCGCGGCTGCTCCCCACTCAAGCAACGCACAACTCACGGCAGCTCTATCGAACGAAAACTAAATTAATGACATCAGTCTGGATGAGGAAAGCAAGCGTGAAAAAGTGCTTCACGGTCTTCTGTCCTCCCAGGTGGTGCAAGACAAAATCAGGAATGGCAGGTAAAAGGCTTCAGATTGGCTGCAATTCAGCTATTCGTACGTATATTCATATGGCTATTCTATTCTATACACTTCATTTATTACGAGTCACAGAAACACTCTTCAATACCCCAAGACAGCGACAACACATGACGCATATATATTTATATACATATACAGTTTATACCCTTTAGCTGAAGGAATAGAACTGGAAGCAGACAAAGGGCATAAAGGTCACTGCTGTACCTCCATGTGCTTTCAGTCACAACCCACCAAGGGATAAAATGAACTTTTATCCAGGGTCAGGCAACAAGGCTGTGGCTTTTGCTCCATAATACCTCTAATACAGCCAATACAGACATATATACACACACAGGAACACACGCGTGTAATAAAGCTCACACCTTTTTGGTTTTGTCCATGGCCTTCAGGATGGAAACATTTAAATCCTCCAAAGCCGCAAGGACATGCTTGTATTCACCGAGGTGTTGGGAAAAGTATTCTACCAAGTTACAAAGAAACAAACAATTATTTGACAGGGATGATACATCAAAGATTTCAATATCACATCATTTTATAGTTAAAATCTTAGGGCATTCGAAACACCAAATTAGTTTGTTTCTGGATGAGTAAAAAATCGGTAATTCTTACCACACAATTCATCCGTATCCACATTGCTGAAGAAAGATGAGAAATACTGGTTAACCAAAAATGAACCAAAACCAACAAAAAAATTGTTCAAACACACCTGGAGTTGTGAAGGCATCAGACTATAAATCATAAATGAAACATATTACATAACAAACAATATAAAAAGATCCAACATATACATTGATGTACTGAGGTGCTAATATTCCAGGGGTACAGAGAGATTAAAATTTTTTTATTGGACTTTCTAGTCTATTGTTACCAAACCACAGCTGTTAATAAACTCTACCTGTGTAGAGTGCATTAAATATGAACTGCATACAGGCACGGGCTGGGGACAGGCTGCAGCACACAGGGATTGGCTACCGCTGATGAGCTAACGGTCTAACAATTCTCCTTTTACACGCGAGAGCAGATCAGACTCTAGCTCTTTGTCCTCATGTTTGTAACCCGACTCATAAGCGGCACCAGTGGATGAGGTCCTTCATGGCTGAGTGAGAATTAGCCAGCCCGGCACGAAGCAGCCATTCAGTGTCGTAGGATGATATACACACCAAAGGTGGTGTGTCATTTAAGATGTTCTCCAAACAACTGGCTGTAAATAACCTTCACATGACATATGATTCATAGTTGAAACAAGATGCCCCCTTTATATATATATATATATGTGTGTGTGTGTGTGTGTGTGTGTGTGTGTGTGTTTGTGTGTGTATATATATATATATGAGATTGTTTAAACAATAATAAGGGATTATATTATACACTGAAAATAATTCCATTTCATGCATCTTCAGTGTCTGGGTTTCACAGGCTGACACTCCAACCAGCAAACACCCAGTGACTCTGGGAGTATTACAATAACTATTATTAGAAGCCACAGCTACATGAGAAGCAGATGAATATCAAGCTAAACTGCAGATGAGCTGAGTACCTTGTGACAACGCTGCCATGGAAACCATGGTGAGAAGACTTGGAATTTGAGGAGGGGAGGTTTGACATTCACCCGAAACGCTATCAATGTATAACATTCACCATCTTATTTTGACAAAGAAGCAAAACACTTGGCAGAAACTGAAATTAAAGGTACCAGCATAAAAATACATGACGGTTGATGTAGGTGTTTGTATTTCCATCTGATATTCATGGTATATCAGCATATACTGGAATCTTCCAAAGGTCAAGCACAGAAGGTTGACAGGAGAAGATCCATCTTCCAACCGCTTATCTGGACCAGGTTCTTGGGGGGGGGGGGGGGGTACAGGCAGTACGGTGCGTAATGTCAATCCAAGCACACCATCATGCACAATGGGCAATTCACAGACATCATTTAGCGTAACTGCATCTCGTTGGACTGCAGAAGGAGGCCAAAGTAAGTCACAATAACCAACCAATCAGTGACTGTACTGTCCTTCTGAACCAATTCTGTGTAAAACATTACAAGGATTCAGGCAGTGAACTAGGGGTTCGTCTCCGTGTCCTTCAACCCTCTCACTGTGTATTTCTGAATGCCCAGACTCCTGCCTAAATTAAGACACAATAATGAATCACAGAGAACAACATGTATACATAACCAGCTTCTATGGTCTTAGCTGAGAATTAAGACAAATGATTTCCTTATCATCGTGCTCAGAACATTGTCATTAAAGAACAATGGTTTCTAAATTAAACTGTTTGAGATCTGGGAAGGAAGCTGAGCAGCTGCTTGCATTTTAGCAAAAATTTTGCCTGTTACACGCTTATGGTTTGAGTTCGTCTCACACGCTCAGCTAACCACCTCCCCCCCTTCACTCCTGCCAGAAAGGCCAGTGATGTCGGTGAATTGGGAGCTTGTCGTGCCTGGGGTACAGACCCCACGGGGCCGTCTGTTGTCATGACAGTCGCTTGAAGAGGCTTCCAGCACAAACATCAGCTCAAAGCGCAAGCCATCGAGAGCATTAATAAACAGCACTGGTTTTAGGACAATAAAGAGGCTGCCTCAAGCTGAACAGAGATCAAAGAAAAATGGGAAAGAAGCCTCTGGTAAATCAATATGTTACAGACCCTCTTAGATTAATATTAATACCGATATTGCTTAAAATAAACAACTGGGTGAAAATCCTTCTATTTTAACATCTCATGAACAAAGAGGTCGTTCTTAGCGTTTCCGAAAGCCGTGAAGCAACCTTGCATGGATATCAATACTAAAGAATAGAAACTGGTCTAGAAAACCAAAGTCAGATCAGACTAAAGATATTTAGCTTCTTTAGAAAGCTTGTAAGCATATGAAATACGCTGGTGCTGAAATGGACTTTTCATAATGAAACATGGTCAACAGACAAACAAAGAAAAATTAAATGTAGACGAAGAAAGATCAAGGCAAGTATCTACAGATGTCCATGTGCTCTTTGAGTTCTTCCTGTTGACCTTTTACAAGCGGAAAACCAACGGAAAATCACCCACATAAGACACACACAGTCCTAATTTACACCAATCAATGCCCATTTACTGTTACTAAAGAGCACTAATCTTATCTTAAATGCCAAAGACTAAAATAACCCAGAGAATCAATTTATAATACATTCTGACACACAGAGGTCAAATAACAAATAACATGTTTTCAGTCCTTAATTTAAAAGATTAACACAGTAATAAGTAATGGATTATTAAAATGGGTTTTAAGAATGTTACTGTCTCACACCAACATTATCAAACATATGTTGCAAAAATTAAGATAATGTGTACATATTTACAACTTGCTCATGTGGATAAGGACATAATCTTGAAGCTCAAAACTACAGTTTAAAGTCGTATGAAATTCTTTGCAGTTTTACCCTTGAGCAAGATAATTAACCTGAATTACTCCAGTAAAATATAAAGTTAATTAACAAAAGTGTTTTTGGATAAAGGATGAATAAAAATCTTTAATTCAATAATCCTGTAATGTTTTCCCTCATTCCTGCTACATCCATACATTTCCATAAGTCACTGAAAAGTACAGTGTAATTACAACTGCAAACAAATGAATATCATTACCCCTGCTCTCCCCCCACGCAAAAAGAGATAACAGGGACCCATCGTTTTACGGGGGCATGAGACTAGAGACGTTACTTACTCAGTGTTGTGGGTGTCAATTGTGTGGAAGAGCTCCTTCAGGTCGTCTCCGGTGAGAACGCCATCTGAGAAGTATGCCTTAAACTCATCAAACGACAGCTTGCCATCATCTGCAGAAGACATAAGGGGTTAACAGCATCGCTAATTAAAGAGAATAAGGGAAATACTTCCCTTAGAGACCCCTGATTTAGCTCATCCTGCCTCCTTCCCATGGTTATCACTTAAGTATTCAGATCAGCATTCGTGACACAGACAGGAAACACCTAACAGGGCTTGTTCGTCTGTGGTGGTCCAGCTCCTGCGGGTCGCTGCCCTGATCTCCTGTTTAATCCTCAAGGGCTTTAACAGACACCACATCCACAAGTAAAGGTGAGTCACACATGAACATATCTGAGATTCAAACAGGGATCAAAGGAGATTTTTTTTAGCAATACAAATGCCTGTGAGGGGTCTCCTCCCAAAAATCTTGTGCTGACGTTCATATTTATTATTAAAATCCACACCAAATATGTAATGGATTGCATAGGAAAGTCATACAGAAGATTGTCACTGTAGACTCCGTAACACTTTACTTGAAGCTGCCATCTATAATGCATTATAACGGTTGGTATAAGAATTAATAAAGTATTACAACATCTTCCATTGACAATCATAAGGTGTTGATTATAATACTTAATAAGCTCCAATGAAGCTCTCATCTATAATGCACTATAGATACCTTCATAATGCATTATAATGGTCGGTATAAGAATTAAGGATGCTTTGTACTGCAATATGACTGTATCTATAGTGCGTATAGATGACAGAACATAAGAACATAAGAAATTTACAAAGGAGAGGAGGCCATTCGGCCCATCAAGCTCGTTTGGGGAGAACTTAACTAATAGCTCAGAGTTGTTAAAATCTTATCTAGCGCGGATTTAAAGGAACCCAGGGTTTTAGCTTGCACTACACTAACAGGAAGACTCTTCTGTGCTCTTACTACACACTGCGTAAAGAAGTGTTTTCTCAAATTCAGTTTAAAATGTTTTCCCGCCAATTTCCACCTATGGCCACGAGTTCTAGTATTTAAATTAATATTGAAGTAGCCATTTGGCTGAACAGCATCGAGACCTGTTAGAATCTTATATACCTGGATCATGTCCCCCCTTAGTCTCCTTTTCTCGAGGCTGAACAGATTCAGCTCAGCTAACCTCTCATCATAAGACATTCCTCTAAGACCAGGAATCACCAGCTTCATAAAGCATTCATAAAGCATAATAAACATGGCAGTGATATGTTATGCCTTTTTATAATTATTTATAGCCATGTTAATAATGCTTAATGAATGCATTATAATGTGTTATGAATGTGTTCATAGATTCTTATAGACACGACATTGATAGAAAGTGTTACCAATTCCTATTATAATGTGGAATTCTGCTTTTGTAATCTGACCCGAGTTGGCATATTGCAATAATTTTACTGTTTGACTTTTATAAATATTTCTCTAATATGGACCAAGGAACTTCCAGGTCCTCGCACAGTATGATTTCATGTGGATATGTTGGTGAGCTTCTGGTAATGAGCCTGTTGCTTTTGGGCATAAATGCATTCTGAAGAGTGACATCGCTGTACAGGTCTTGTGTCTCTCCACTGTTGCTGTGTGAATCACATGTCTTTTGTATCACTGTATGTGATGATTTATTTGGAGTTCAGTGGAAAATGGGTGATTTAGAGAAGCCCGAGCTCTGGTTGATACAGAGCGCATGGTTGATACAGAACAATATCATAAACCCCACATCAAAATGCTCACCATTTTTATCTGCTCTTCGTAAAATCTGAAACGGGAACACAGAAAGAGACCAAATATCTGGTTATACTCAATGGAAAACAGAGGAGCTACAAGAGGAAAAGACCATGATACAGATATTCAGCTTCTGAGGATTTACACTGGAGAATATTCACATGGACAGCAATAAGGTCTGCTGTGCTACTACGCGGAGTAACAATACATTATCAATTGGTGCAAACATACCGCTAAAAGTGTCAGTGTGATTATTATTCTATGAGAAGCGCCATCATCATAATCATACTCTGATATAGTATGGAATGACAGGAATGTCCCTATAGCAGTTACTGTACACCAGCGCAGAATGCAGTCACTATATATAGTGATCTCTGCAAAACTTGTAATTTCTGTACTACGACAAGTACTCTTTATGCTCAGCCATCCTTCAAGGGTTAACCTGTTTAAGATCAGAAACCAAATCCTTTGATACATACAAAAGGACACATATTTCCAGATATCTTCACGCCACTTGGGATGTGACAAGGAACCCTGCGGAAAAGCTACCGCATTTAATAATAATTAAACAACACGCTGGTTGTTTTATTACACATTTAAAAATCCTAGTTATTAATTAATATTCTTACTAAAACTGCAAAAATTAAGATCGCATTTTTTTCCAACAGTTAAAAAACTGACAATACGTAGCGCAATCTGTTTCCCGTACTTACGCTATAATTATTATTTATATGTAATTTTACTTTCATATAGGCCTAGTCTAAATACCTAGCATCTTCATACAATAATTCTGTGGCGACAATCGATATTTAAACAATATGTGTTTGGAATTGTGTTCCTGTTGAATATAAATCTCATGTGAACTACTACAGCATAATTTCTAATGTGCAGAAGTTGCAAAAATGGGCATGGATTTCTTAAAGGATCTTACCCCTGTCTTAAGTGATCAGTGATTTTTAGCATTTCACAAATTCAAAAATCATATGTCAGCCGAATCATTTGTCATTTTACTTACGTCCAAAAATATTGACATTCCCTTCTTCAGCTCCGACGTCGCTTTTACTTCGTGCTCAAGAGACTGCGCTTCTTCGGAGCTATCCATTTTTGCCGGTGATGTTTGGCGCCGTTAACAAATTAATGCCAGTGGATTTTATCCGTAAATTCAGTGTATTGAGACTAAAAGGGGTTAAGCAAAACACTATATGAGCCGGGGGGGGGCGGAAAGCGTCTCAGTCAGTAGAGTCGGTCGGGGAAAGCGCGCCGCCTGCGTTCGCAGCCCGGCAGAACATTAGGACTGCGCTCCGGCGGGGCGGAAAACGCTCCGCTACAGCAGTTAATTAGGCCATCATCTCCAAGTAGCCGTGTCTGTGTGAGCAGACGTGAATATTCCGAAAATACTTAGAACACAATGCATGAAAACACCGTGGTTGTGAAATCGCAGTCGATCGCAGGGCGCACATTACATTTTACAGACACCAGCTTTCATAACTAACATGTGTTTGCACTGAAGGAGGAAAAACAGAGAATAAACCCACGCAACAATTGAAGAACACGAGCAAACATGAGAAATATGAGCAGCAAAATTATGCATTTATACAAATAATAATAATGAGTATTACAATTGTTGTTGTTGTTGTTGTTAGGGGCAGTGTGTAGCTCAGCAGGCTAGAGCGCTGTATCTGTGATCAGAAGGTTGCTAGTTTAACACCCTTCAGCCATGGGCGATCATAGCTAGGTCCAATAACTCGGGGTAATAGCCCCAGTTATTTTAACCCTAGCCCCGAGTATTTTAGTCCCGATTGCAATCTACCTTCATCAAAAAAGCTGTCAAGCCTCAGGTAATCTTGACTTAGTCCCTGATCTTTTCAATAGCTAGAAACCACCCCCCGCCAAAAAAAAAAGCTCCAGTGGCACCAGAAATACGGCCTGACCCTGCAATCGGATGCCTGGCTTCACTCCCAACTGTGTGTGTGTCTGAAACGGGAGCAAGATGGGGATGTGGAGAAGAGGCATTCCAATACACCGGCAAATGGCAAATAAAGCTTTATTTTTATTATTATTATTATTATTATTATTATTATTATTATATTACTGCAAAGTATAAATCAACAAAAATGTTTAGAAATCATTTAGAAAGATCTGCATTTTACTCAACATTTATTTGGCTATATTTATTTATTTAATATTTACTTATCGTATGTTTATCATCATAAAGCATACAAACAATAAGTTCTAATTCAATATACTATGATAATACAATATATTTAACAACTGCTCCGCCTAGTGGAAGAGCAGAACTGAAAATTATGGATTCACATGAAGAGAAACTGGGGGGGGGGATTTACATCCGGGGGCTTCATGGTCCAGTAACACATCATAATCCTTATACCTAACATATACGGAGGTCCTGTAATTTGTGAAACACAATCAGTCCGTGTATGTATTTTTTTTCACCTCATCACTTTTCGAAATTCTCAAAAAAAAAAAAAAAAAAAAGCAACTCATTTCAGTTCTAAGTTCCAAATATTTGTAAAACAACCTGAAAAGTTTTAGATAAATATGCTCAAAATAAATATATAAATATGTGCCTGTTTATTATATAAAAATAGAATGATGTTATAAACCTGAAATTCGAACCTTTCAGTTATTTGTTTTTGCGTTTGTCATGAGTGGGGTATGGTAGGCAGTGGAAATAGGATTTTTTTTCTTTGATTGGTTTATGTTTCTTTGTGATGTCCGCGCTGTGGCGTGTGACTAATTAATAGACTTATTTGCTCATTTATTTTGTGAGGGGCGCGGAAAGAGGCAGGTTTTTGGGGCGTTGTCTGCCGCGGAGAACGGATCGAGTGATCGGAATTGATGGAAGACGATCTGTAACTGGACCGAACGTGGTTTAATTGCACGGCGATATTGCTGTTTTAAAAGGAATGTTTTTACTTTCTTTTATGTTTTGAGCATGGGGCCGTGTAAATAGCTTGTTTTTTCTTTTTCTTTCGTTTCTCTTTTTCTGGTATTGTTTTTTTTTTGTTTGTTTTTTGTTTTTTGTAACTGGCAGTAGTGTGGTTTTATTGTATTAGTTTTTTTTGTCTGTTCGTTTGGATAATGCTGTGAGTTTGCAAGACTGAATCTATGTAATTTGTTGTTTTTCTTGCAGATTTTATGCAATTATTATTGACATGAACATTAAATTATTGACATGGATCTAAACTGTCTTTAATTATGAATACTTTGTCAACATGAATAACATGCTGTCCCTGATGCATGGTACTGTATATTGTTATTGTGGGTGGAGAATTTCCTCAATGGTTTCTCCTGAAACTATGACATAGGGAGCTGGGACTCTTTGTCTAGAAATAGTTGTAGGCTATTATCTGAATACTGTAATCAGCTTGCTAGGAGCTCAGCCTTAGGAACTGGGTATGCATTTATTTTTTATCTGTACCTTGCAACTCTATCTTTGTTCAAGGACATGTAGAAAATGTAGAAAAACATGCATTAAAATATTAACATTTATTAGGTTTAAAACATAAACCAGGGACATTTAGTACTGACTAATCTGGAATATACATTTTTAGCCCAATATAAGAAACCCTTTACAGTCTTTTTTATGGGAAGTTAACATGGCAAATAAATTATTTATGTACAGGACACAAAAACACACGCAAAAGCAATACTGACTCATCTATGTAGTGGTACTGTCATGCAGTGTAATGGATGACACTGGTGTAATGGAGAAGTTGGATTACACCGAATGACGAAAACATTACACCAAATGACGAAACTTCGACTTCAACATATACAGTATACCACATGGACAAAAGCATTGGGACACCTGGCCATTATATCACAGGAACTTTTATGACATTGCATTCTAAATCCATAGGCATCAGTATGGAATTTGTCCCCCCTTTGGTGCTATATCAGCTGCCACTCTTCAGGGAAGGCCTTCCACAGGACTTTGGAGTGTGTCTATTGGAATTTCAAAAGTTATAATCTTAGAATTCTCCAAAATGTGTTTGTGTACATATTCTAGAATTGTTATGCATTTTTAGATGCTTCCAACTTTATGGGAACAGTTTGGGGAAGGCCCTTTTCTGTCCCAGAATGACTGTGCCCCAGTGCACAAAGCAAGGTTCATAAAGACATGGTTGGGTGAGTATGGGGTGGAAGATCTCGACTGGCCCACATAGAGCCCTGACCTCAATCCCAACAAACACCTTTAGGATGAATTAGAGCGGAGACTGTGAGCCAGGTCATCACATCCAACATCAGTGCCTGACCTCATAAATGCTCTTCTGGATGAATGGGCACAAATTCCCACAGACAGATTCCATATTCTTGTGGAAAGCCTCCCCAGAAGAGTGGCAGCTATTATAGCACCAAAGGGGGGAACAACTCCATATTGATGCCTATGGATTTAGAATGAGATGTCATAAAAGTTCCTGTAGGTGTAATGGCCAGGTGTCTCAATGCTTTTTTTTTTTTTTTTTTGGAATTTATACGTTTATTTAAAGAGGTAATGGTTTAATCAAAGTGCAGACCACTACACTGAAAGACAATTTAGCAGTTTGACATTTTATTTTTCAAAAAGTTATTCGAAACATTAGAAACTGTAGTTTTATTTCATGTTTTCTATGCATATGGAATCTTCGTAAATATAATTTAACGAGGACACAAAAATGGGAGCATCTTATATGAAATAAAAACCTCATTACAGCAAATCATATAGAAATAATTATTCCTGGGCTCTTGCATACCTCCAACTACAGCCAACTTTGCACGCCATTTACGATTATTTACATTTACATTTACATTTACATTTACAGCATTTGGCAGACGCCCTTAGCCAGAGCGACTTACATAAGTGCTTTAAGACTCCACAATGAATTTTTCCCGATACTAGCTCAGTAAAAACCAAGGCTATGAACACCATCGATCTAATACTCTGTTGGAAAAGTGCTTTTTTTTTTTATTCATTTATTCATTTTATTCATTATTAATGAATGTTTGTCAGTACATTATGTCTTGTCTCTTAAACTGTCCTATTCTCAGCTCGGCAACCGCGTATCTCACTGGACATTGTACAGCTGTGAATGTAACACATAGAACTTTGAAACCTGAAATCAGTAACCGAAGACGGCTCGGAACAGCCTTTTCGGAAATAGCAGACAGTGGTTCCAAAGCGCCGAACTATCACCATTGCGTGAGTCATTAACTAAATAAAGCATATACATCACGCACGTGTTTTCTTATCAAGACAATAACGCCAACTACAATGGTAATACGAGAGTGATCCTGGTGCCGGATCACCATAAAGATACAAAAGGATCACGTGACATAAAAGGAACCTGACGACAGGCAATCTGAGACAAGAAGGAAACAAACAACACGCCGGGGATGCGGATTACGTAACCGCGCTCCAGTCTACGTCGCTGCCCGTGTCGCGATAGCCGGTGTCACGTGGTCGGGCGAGGGTGATTGTGGGAAAACAAACAGTGCAGTGAGCTACGTCTCCAGTGTTTGTGGAAGCGGCCGGAGGTGGTGACGGCTTTAGTTGGCGAAGAAGCGGCTTGTACGACGGGGAGGAGCAGCTGTAGTCCGGCCAGCCAGGAAAACTCCAGTGTGATAATGTGCGCGGGAGTCCGAAGGAGACGTACAGGGCAGTGCCGTTTTCACACGGACGGCAGTTCGACGGGCGACTCGTAAAAGTTGGACTCTGTCCGGGCTGCCAGCGGGGCTGCGGTGAGCGGGTTAGCCGGCCCACTGACTGAGCGATCGGGGCCACCCAGAGGGTCAGTATCGTGTAGCCGGCCCAACGACCAAGTGATCGAGGGCGCCCGGGGGTGAGTGCCGCGTAGCCGCTTCCCCGGGGGAGGATGGCGTTTGTCACCCCGCAGCAGCAGCAGCGAGCGGTAAACGGCGCGTCCACGGAGCGGCCCGGTTCGGGACTGGTGTACGCCAGATAAAGACGGCACTTTTGGGGGGAGGGAGCTGCTGGCTGCCTTTACCGAACCGCGTCCGCTCGTCTGGGTCATTAAGAGAAGCTTGGCGGCCGAAAGGCGCGTATGGAGCCGCTCTGCAGCGGGGATGTAGCAGGCACTGCTCGGAAAGTTTGTATCCTGCTTAAGCAGCATCAGTGACGGACGATTTAGCGCAGAGCCGGCACCTCTGTGCCCGGCGTGCGGCCGAAGGTGAAACATGTGGAACCCTGGATCTGCGGGCCTGCAGCTCCTAGGCAAGGTCCTGAAACATGTGGCGGGCAAAGGGCAGCTGCACCTGAGGAGCTGGCTGCAGAGGTCCGCCCAGGACTCCGCCGACTGCGACAAGATGGACATCCTGATATGCAGCGCGTTTGAGGAGAGGGTCGCCGGCGGCAAGCTGGACGCCGAACTAGACGGCGAAGTTGGCGTGGACGGCGGCGTCTCCTTCCTCGGGGACGCCCGGCACCCCTACTGCGTTTCCACCTGTTGCTTTAAGAGCGCTGTCTTGGTCTGTATCCTGACAGCCGTGTGCTTCTCCTCTGTGGCTCTGGTGCGCCAGTACCTGAAGGACCTGCTCATGTGGGTGGAGAGCTTGGACAGCCTGGTGGGTGCGCTGCTCTTCATAGTGGGCCTGATCTTGGTGTCATTCCCCTGCGGCTGGGGCTACATCGTCCTCAACGTGGCTGCCGGATACCTGTACGGCTTTGTGCTTGGCATGGGGCTTGTCATGGTCGGGGTGCTCATCGGGACCTTCATCGCTCACGTAGTCTGCAAGCGCTTATTAACAGACTGGGTTCTGACCCGGATAGGGAACAGCGAGCAGCTGAGTGCCGTCATACGGGTGGTGGAAGGGGGCAGTGGACTTAAAATTGTGGCCTTAGCGCGACTCACCCCGATACCGTTTGGACTTCAAAATGCGGTATTTTCGGTAAGTTGCTTGCGGCAATACATGCTGGGGTGGGAGATCACCGTAACCTGCCAGGCTTGTCTGCGCTAAACACACCTTCCTCATCTCCTGCACTTTGTGTTTCAGTGCAGTCTGTATTCACCAGAGTTGTTATACCCCATAGGATGTTTGTGTCTGCCACCACACAGTTATGCTTGTGATATGTCTGTTTCTCATTCATAAATGAGTAGGATAAGTAACAAGGTGTTTAATTCTACATTGAGGAATTTATAATGATGCTGTTGCAGCTTACAAAGGTCAGTGAGGAAGAAATTGTGAAAAATCCAGGATGTGCAAAGCATTCCAATTTTTGTTTGATTTTTAAAACCGTTATGTCGGCAACAGAATCACATGACGTGTGTCTTCTCTGTGTTTAGGCTATTTTCACACTTGTAGGTATTAGATTTGTAAGAATAAGTCATAAGTATGCACCGTCAAGGGTATAACTTTGGGTTCAGCATGGGGGGGGAGGGGGGGGGTTGAGGTCTCCACCCACCCAGGGTTCAAGGGCAGCAAAAAAGTATCTACATATGATTTGGCTGGTTTAGATTTTTCAGGGACGGGGGTTTGTAACCCCCCAAATTCCCCTCATAATTTCCGCCCACGTGCATCATTACTTCAGTAGGAAGTGACAGACCTACGCCTTTGACTGGAGAGGATAATTTGATACGGCACATGTTGAGTTGCGGTATACGGCAGCATGCTGTAATCTGCGTGGCAGCATGAAGTAACGGTGTGTCCTGTTATCCTGGCCTTGGCTGTCCGTGCCCCGTCGCAGGCGTTCTGCTGTTCTGGCAGCTTGCGTAAGAGTCCTTCAGATGAAGCCACTGGTGATTTTGCTAAAACGACATGGCTCTTATGTTAAAGATGTTCTACTGTAGGCATGTATTGACTTTTAGCATGTTCCGCATTAGCACAGAAAGGCGTTTTCTCTGTGCTCCTTTGGTTTGTTGCTTTGATGTGCTTTGTAGCACTTTTTCCATTGATTTATCTGACTTATGAAAGGATGAAGCTTGTTCAGTGTGAGTCAGAACCATTGTCTGGGTTTGGGCACCTGGAACAAAGACCCCAATCTGAAGCTGTCTACAGTTGCAGGCATTTTCTTAAAGCGTGTGTAGTGGTGGTTGCAGCCGTCATTTCTTAATCAGCCACCTTTCCGGGAGAATGGCAGTTTTCTAGGGTACTTTGTGCTGAAGTGGATGCCGTTGCATTAATGAGGGTAATCTGAGGCGCGTGTACAGCAAAGGTGACATCTGTAATGATGCTGAAGTCAGTCGGCTTTATATTACCTGTGACTTGCATTAAGTCGCGCCGTTTTCAACAACGTCATTTTGCTCTTTTATGAGTTGACGTGGTGGGAAATACCAAGACACAATCAACACTGCGTCCCTCCCGTCTGCCCTACCACATGTAAACCTCCTGCTCAGTCGGCTAGAACAGGCACTCCTGGCTTAGTTATGCCAGTCGTTCAGTTTCTGTGTACTTGCACACTGTTTCCTGTAACCTAATAGCAAATAATAGCAACAGTTATCTTTGTGTAAGCTGTGCATACTTATTTAAATTCCTTAGCTCAAGGTTTGCTGTAGAAGGTCATTTGGATGGGAAACATGATTGTCTTCATAGTTATGCAGCTGTTAGCCTGCTTTCAAAATGTTTGTCTATAGACAGATAATTTCCCTCCGGGGATTTATAAAGTTTAAGTTGTCATGGCACCCAGGTACATTTAAATATTATTAAAAACAATAAAATGCTGAGGAAAAATACTGCAAATAGGCGAAATTGTAAAATGCAGTTGGAATATGCAGGAATCTGAGAACAAAAAGTTGTTACATACTGGTTCTTTTAGTCCAGAATATAAAGTTTTCGAGACTCAGTATCTTTACTGGCCATTGAGCTGACAGTTGTATGTGTTCTCTGCCAGTGCTGCGCAGTTTCATGTCTTGCCCCCCCCCCATGTAGATCACAGATGTGTCGCTGCCGAATTACCTGGTGGCTTCCTCTGTTGGTCTGCTGCCTACACAGCTCTTGAACTCGTACCTGGGGACCACGCTCCGCACGATGGAGGACGTCATCGCGGAGCAGAGTGTCAGCGGCTACTTCGTGTTCAGCTTGCAGGTGAGATGGGGAGGGGGGAGGGGGGGCGTTTGGCCGGCTGGTCTGGCTCTGCTGTAGGCTATCGGTGCCCCGGGAGCAAAGGAGTGGCGCACATTCCTGCACTTTTCATCTGGCCAGCTGCCAAGCTTCAGAATTCTTTGTCCTTTCTGCTCTCAGTTGACATGAATGTGAGCTGATTATCCGGAACATTCAGGTGAAAGAATGGCGCCCGCTTCGGTCTGCTAGGCACACTGGCTGATCCCCGAGTTGCCGTACTGCTATAGATTAGCTCAGTTAAGGTCATTTGCAAAACAGAATAATCAAGGAACAAACAAAGTCAACATAGTGGAAACAAAGTGCACAGTATGCAAATAGTGTTCTGTATTTAAGGATTCTATGGGATAAAAAGGAATAAACATATGATAAGAACATAAGTACTATACAAACGAGAGGAGGCCATTCGGCCCATCGAGCTCGCTTGGGGAGAACTTAACTAATAGCTCAGAGTTGTTAAAATCTAGAAAATTCATTATATTAAAAGTTATAATAATTATAATGTTTTCACTGTTACTAATCTGTGTATCTCTCATTGTGGGAGCGGTGTTTGAAGCATGTCCCCTACTGAAACGTGCCTGAAATGTGCCTGAAACGTGCGTCACGCCTCCGCCTCTCACAGATCGTCATCAGCATCGGCCTCATGTTCTATGTCGTCCACCGAGCCCAAGTGGAGCTGAACGCCGCCATCGCTGCCTGCCAGATGGAGCTGAAGACGTCGTACGTGAACGGCGGCGTGCTGAACTACGGCGGGGCCACCTACTGCAGCAAGCGGACCGGGGTCGCCGGGGGCGGGGTCGCCGGGGGCGGGGTCAACGTGGTGTGAGCCCACGCGGAGCGCAGATACAACTACATGTAACATATAAAGAAAACCATTTTAAAATTTGCCGGTATGCGCCGAACGCTAACGGCGAACAATGCAGCTGATGGAGGCTTGCGGACGCATGACCAGCTGGTGCTGTCGTTCTGCCATGCGCCCCTGCTTTTCTGGGGGGCCTGCGAGGGCTTTTCCGGATACCGGCCCGTTGCCCTGGGCACTATGGCACAACGCGGAGGGTTAATCTGAGCCGCTAGACGTAAGGACATCGGGAGGCTGTGAAACGGCTCGTACCCGATCCAGCATCTAACATGGCTTTACAGTGCATTTTATATAGTGTTTCCCAGCTGTGCATTTGGTTATTTTTTCCATGATAATATTCTATTTCAGTTGCTGTTTTTCTCTAATTTAAAGCCAGAAGAGCGCTATGGCTGTCCGTGCCCCCTGGTCTCCCCGTCTGCACCCTCGTGCAGCGGGTCGCTCTCTGCGTGGTCCCCGGCGTCGCATCACGACGCCAACAGATGGCCGATCTTTGAGCACGGAGCTCAAACGGGGCAAATCGTCAGATTGCGCGGCCCTGCGAGGTGCGAGAGGTTACAGACGTCACGAGCAAAGGCCATTCGGTACAAAAGCAGAAAGCTGTAGAATGTTATATAGTGTAGGCGGTTCTATTTAAACATGTTGCCCAATGAGTGCACAAGCTGTTTTATCCGCTTCTGAATTGTTATAGTATTTGAGACTCACGTTAAATAGTTTTGATGATATAAGCTGCTTTATGACTGTTGTCTGAAGGCCCCCCCCCCCCACTGGGGTAACTGGAGCAGTTTTCAGGTTTGAAAACACAGGTGCCGTGTGAGTGCGAGATGTGCTGTGGACATCAGTCAGCCGAGATGGTAAACAAGCATGCCCTCGTTAACTGGGGGTCTGTACGGTACATGGTGACAGGGCAGTAGTTTGCATCCATAGATCCTGCTTGTATCGTGTAGCACAGTGTTCCCCGACCCGGTTATCGGGAAACCCCAGGAAGTCAGTCTGGGCCCCCCCACCCCGAGGACCGGATCGGGAAACACTGCTGTAGCTGCTCAGACGGCCTGGCAGACATGGGATCTCCCCAGTGCCGCTGGAACAATAACATTTATTAATCTATTAAGCTCCTTTTAGTAAAAGTTTCTATGACCAGTGCTGGCATTGTTTTTGCGTCCTATTGAAATTTCCGAACAGCCTGTTCTATGTTTTTATTTAACCTCTGTTCATATATATAATAGCTGTCAACACTTGACTTTCTTACTAACAGTTGATTGTTGTGCAATGTATGCCAAGTAATTTTTTTTAAATTAAATGTTTAAGTTTGACTTACATCCCAGCTGCTAATTTGTTTAAAGCTATCATTATCTATATTTTAGAGCTGATCAGATAGCAGTTTTGCAGCTTAAGGCCCTGTGTGTGAAACTTAGCAATAATTTTTGAGAAGCAAATGAATCTTATCCACTTAAGCTGGATATCGAAGCATCTGACATTCCCCAGCTTGTGCTATAACGCTAACCTGCCTTGTGCATCCTGCTGCATATAACATAATGGACCGGTACTGGGCTGCAAACGGGTCCCATTATGGGTTTTGGGCAGGGGGCTTGTACAGCACCCCCGGCCCGATCCGGTCCGATGCAAAAAAAAATTTAAAAATCGGTGTCTGAATGCAGGCTTCAGTCTGACACGCTTTAAAATGTACAAGGCTCGAAAAGCCATGTCAGTCTCGTGGAAATGCTTGCACTCTGTTTAAAGAGGTATGAACTTCCGATGGTGGGGATTTACGGAAATGAGGGATGTCTTCGGCAGACTCTGATATGTCCGTAGCAGTGCTGAGAATCACAAGCTGGGCAAGAGCCCACGTGGCACCAGGCACAGGTCAGGCACTATCGGGACATATGAGACGTGGCCCAACAAAGTGCATTACATATATGCTGTATTTTGACATACAGAGACGTTTACAGTGTGTAAATGAATATCGCTGTAAGGCTTGTTCAGTGTTATCAAATAAAATGTCAAAGTGTAAATTACTTATGCTCTGGGATGCAAAATCAATAGAATAAAAAATTTAGAACTTGAATGAAATGTGGTTTTGTATTTAGTTTAGTTTTCACCTTATGGTGTGGGTGTAGCATTCCAGGCCATTTTTTGCGTCCATCATCAAAACAGCATAATTGTTCATTCTGGGATATGATGAGTGACAAATGATTGAAAATCTAACAAGAACATGTAAGAACAAAGTAAACTACTTCCACCTTGAAGCTTGCAGAATTAGCAGGACTGCGTTTTTCCCCACTACAAAATATTTCATGCAACATTCCTTAAGATTAGATAAACCCTATTGATCCTAGGAGGAAATTCATGATCATATTTTAATGGGGGGGGGGGAGAGAGATATATGTAATATACACACACTTACCCTCAACTAATTTCCCTAATCTGATTCCTAATTCCACTATACAAACTTGTAACCTTGTGTCGGCAGACAAAAGATCACAAAAAAAAATAAAGCCAGCCTTGAAATGAGCTCATTTTATTGAGATAAAATATATTCATTTCAGGGTGTTTAAAAGAACAGTGATCAAATTGCAATGTAAACCTCTTACAATGGCTGCTTTAATACGTGATGATGTTTGAAACTCCATGTTGTACAGATCAGAAGAATGATACTGACTGAAGAGATTCCATGAAACGGGGCTGGGAAATGGCCCTTGAGGTATATTACACATTAACAATAACATTCATTGCTACACTTGAGTGCAATCATTTCCACTACTACTGAATAGTTTGACAGCAGGTAAGTAACTCCTCAGGAGGCCAAGGTGAAGGTACAGTAGATGCCCCAGTGGTCACTAATATGACGACCACAGTCCAGCTTCTCCAGACCGACCAGGTTCATGTGGTCTGGGGCCAAGCGGGACCCCGTCCCGGCCGGTCGGAAGTAGATGCGGTCAAAGCGACATCTGCTGACATAAGGGAGGCCCTTGTTGCTGTTGCCTTTGGTGTCCCAGGTGTAGCGGCAATGCTCCTGTCGGCCCAGCTGCTCCCAGACGTCGCACACGCCAGCCGGTAGCCCCCCCACTTTGAGCACCTGCATGGAAACAAAACAAATCAGAAGCTGGCTAATGGTCCAGAACATCTCCAGCAGATCGCCAATCAGATTAGGAACAGGTTGCCAACATTCTTTAGGGCTAGAAGAAAAAGCATTATTACTTAATTCTTACTTTAACAGGAAAGAAAAAAAGATAACCTTAAAAACTAAAATGTCAGATAAATAAAACAATGCATCTGTTCGTGAATGTTCTTAGTGCCTCCACATAATTATACCTCTCATGATGATCAGTATTACGGTCTAACCATTTTTGGCAGCGATTATCTTAGCATACAGGAATCGTAGAAAGTTTTTTAAGTTTTAAGTCACCTTTGTAATATTGACAAACTACTGCACTTTCCTTCACTTTTAATCTCAAGTGCTTCCACACAACTGATACTTTCACTTTTTTTGGATCCTCATCTGCCAAATGCCAGTCTTCCTTCGGCCGCGTTGCCGAGTAATCGAGAAGGAAAATTTTAAAATCGATGCTTTTTAATAAACCAGTAATCAAGTTTAACGGAGTAATCGTGACAGCTCTATCATTTATGCTGAAACAATTTACACTTGGATCTTACTTCAGGGTCCCTCAGGTTGGTGTCTCCTCCAAATACAACGGAGACGTTGTCAGGAGCCTCCTTCATGCGCCTCAGCACCACTCGCAGCTGATTCATTCGTTCCTGGGCCTGTTCTTTACAGCTCTCCAGGTGTGATGTCATCAGACATATGTCTTGGTCCAAGAATCTGACCTGAGTCAGACACACAGATTTAAAATGTTGTTTCTGTACTGGTCAAGCACCTGAATCAAAAGGGAGAAGAAAGGGAACAAACTTGAGCGACGAGAAGATTTCGCAACATCTGGGTCGCCGGGTAACTGATAATCTCGCTTTTTAGGAGTTTGACTCGGGTCTTCTTCAACATTATACCAGTGAAGTAACCATCTTCATTTCCTAACAGAGAACAAAACATTATAAAGGGCACCCGCTGAGGTACTAACACCGCAGTTAAAAATTCATACAAAATAAAAAGTACCTTCAATTATAATGTATGATGTAGCACGTTTTTTGAGATATTTCATGTATGGTGGGATGAGTTCTTGCAAAAACACTACGTCAGGTGTGTACCTAATCAAAAGGGAAACGAGTGTTTTAATCAAAATATTTTCAGCTTTTTATTTGCCTCCTGCCCCTTACAGCTTCACGTTTCTCCCTGACGGCTCCCCTTCCACTTACAGAACCAGCACTGAGCAGAGTCCACGGGCACGCTCTGCCAGGTTGCCAGTATCCAAACCGTCCACATTCCAGGTGAGCAGAGACAGCTTGCAGTCATCGTCTGGCTCCGCTTGCTGCCTCTTGCCATCTGTAGAATCTGCTCCTGAACATGAAGGATCCTCCTCTGTTAAGTCTATGCTACAAGTGAACCAAAGAATGAACATATGAAACAGTTATTCAGCGTCTCTGAACAGAAATTAGGAGATCAATTCATCGTGTGCAATGTGTGGCTCAGCGAGACAGAATTCTTTGAACATCTCAAGCTTAAATATCATAATAGCGACCTTGGGATTGTGAAAGGCACTATATTAATTGTATTTATTATTATTATTATTATTATTATTATTATTATTAATATTAATACCCATGGTCAGAAGGTTGCTGGTTCAAATCCTAGGGCCAGCAAACTGATACCACCTTTGCACCCTTGAGCAAGGAACATAATCCTCAGCTCCAGGGGCGCTACATGCTGGCTGACTCTGCGCTGTAACCATCAGTTTACTCTAACCTGGATGTGTGTCTGGGGGTCTCATGGGGATCATATTGTATTAGCCTAAAGGACAACTTCCCCCCCGCGGACCAATATAATGGATCATCGCTTAATACGATAACGTTTAATTTAACATTCCTTTCTTCGAACATCTCTCAGGCCTAAATATTATAATAGCAAGAGTTAGAGCAGATCCGGCGATCGAAGTTGTGCAGGTTATGCAGTTTAATGAGTGTACGTGACATCAATAAGTTATATACCACAACTAATTTCATAATTACCATACACATACAGTATGTATGCTTCTCAGCGTTATGAGACGGGAGGGGGACGGGTAGGAAATGCCGGATCCTTACCAATCCACGGCCCCTGCCTCATTTTTCGATGTTTGCGGAGGCTCCTTCTTGGGGTTTGCATCTTGATCTGCATCGAAGACAGCTTTCATATCTTCCTCGAAAAAGGAGTTTAAGGCTCTCTGTGGAAAGATATGATAGTCACAAAACCATTCTTCACGACACAGAAACCAGCTCAAAGGCACATCTGTGTCATTAGTCCCAAACATGTCGTTAGTTCTCATTAATTTTACTTTTCAGCCTGAAACTCCGCACACATTTGGACCTACTTCCATATCCCAGTCATTTTCAGCAAGGTAGCACTGAGCCACAGCGTCGTCCGAACTAGTGATAGATGCAAACTTCTCACAGAGACGTATTCTGCATTCCTCTAAACTTGCATTAGGTTGTTTTTCTATTGTATCTTTAGCATCCATCTTTATTTTGTTGAGACTTAAAGAAATTCACGGCTACGGTCGTTCTGTAAAACTGTCAGCCTATAGTAACGTCGTTTATAAAGGCCGCATACTTTATTTAACAGGCGCTAAAATAAAAATTACCATCGTGTATAACGTATTTCAGAAAATAATAAAATGCAACGCATACCGCTGTTTTACTTTACTTACAGCGTCTAACCGTGCAGCTACAAACCTACCGCTGCAAATGCGGAACTACTTATAATCAATGACTTCGTGAGAGGGACCGAAATGCGAACCGTCCCGCGCGTGAAGCGCGTTTCCGGTTGTTAGGTCTTCCGGTGAATTTTAGCAGTTCATTTCCTAACGCTGTATTGCTTCTCTTTAGGTTGTGATTAAGACGCGTAGAAAATTCAAATGGCATTTCTATGCATTTTCATGGAAAGTTAAAGTATGCAGACCGTAACAGTATTTTAGACCTGGATTGAGTGCAGAGGCGGGTGTGGGGATCGGACACTGCTGCGGAGTTTCAAACTTTCAGGTCGTTTTCGGCCTGGCTCTTCTGATTAGCTCGAGGAAAAGAAGAGGGTTAGGGATTTCGGGAGTAACGCCTAACGTCTTTCTTCAATTATAGTTGTCTAATCTTTTATTCATATACTACAATGGCGTCGTTGTCTTTAACACATCTGAAAGAATTAATGCGTTCCATGGTGGACGGCCCTGGTTTTGATCGGGTTTTAAGTAAGGTATGTTTTTCTTTCAATTACACTTAGCTTCACACTATGCATAAACTTCTGTGTCTGCCTTTTAGAATTGAAATGAAAATTCCACTAATAGTTCTGATTGCAGATTGCAACGATGAAACGCCTGCAATCTACCTTACTTTACCGACTGACCTTGACATGTCGTGCTTGAAACGTGTACTGCTGTTACATTATAGTACCACTGTTTGGTTAGCCGACGCTTCTTTCAAGGATATTCATGTTGGAATAGTAGAAAAAGCAATCGTGTTCCTTTGCAGGTTAACATCGTATCAGCAAGTCCAGGTAAAGTGGTTTGTGAAATGAAGGTGGAGGAAGAACATACGAATCGTTTGGGCACGCTACACGGTGGGATGACAGCCACTTTGGTAGATGTAATTTCCACATCCGCATTCATGTACACTGAGCGGGGCCTTCCTGGTGTCAGCGTTGACATGAACATCACGTAAGTGCATTCTGCACCAGCCATTAACAGATGTTTGCTTAGAAATGGTCTTATTAACTTGAATTTCTGCTTACAAGACCTAATGGAATATATTCAGTATAAAGGCAGCAAGTAGATGGTTCAGGCACTAAACTAGTTCTCAGCTGGATGTTTTTTATATTAACCTGAAATCCTGATTTGTAGAAAACAGTGAGACTGACCTGAGTAAAAAATTGAACCACGTTACCCTCAAAATAGACTCTAATGTAGGCGTTAAAAATAGTTTTGGTTGTCTTTCAGGTACATGAATGCAGCCAAGGTAGGGGATGATGTGTTAATTACTGCCCAGATATTGAAGCAAGGTCGGACACTGGGATTTACCACTGTTGATCTTACCAGCAAGGCAACTGGAAAACTGATTGCACAAGGAAGACACACAAAGTACTTGGGTGGTTAAATCTGGGCTTAATGTTTGAGCATAATTTGTATAAACTGTAACACGTGTCCAAATAAATCCTATTGGTTGGAAATATTTGACAAAGTTTGTACTGGCATATTTTTAAACAACTACACGCACCATTATTGTACTATCCCTTATTGATTTTTTTTTTGCCAGTAAAGCCAGTTTACATGTGTCTGTTTCTAATTTTTTAAAATACAGATAGGATTTCCTTCAATACCTATTACTACTAGTCTCTGTGTAATAACATTGAACAAAACTCCTTACTCTCCTTTACTTCAATGAATGTACAAAAATTCACCAATTTTCTCTGAAACCATGTTGGGTTAGTTATCAAAATACAGTCAGTAAAACATGATAAGGAAGTTGTTTTTCTTTTTTTCAAAATTTTATTTAAGTATAGAGAGAAAGCATAAAGAGCAACAAAAGACAAAAATTATCCTAGCAGAAAATATGGAAAAATTAAATTTTCAGCATCTTTTGAGTAAATTCTGAGTAACAGGTAACAAGTATTCTAGAATCCGTAGAGGGTTCACATCTCAGCTGTTTATTCTCCTACAGTAGCGGCTTCCCTGTGAATAAGGGAACGTATTTCAGAAAATATTAATTTTAGAAAAATACATCTCATTAAAGAGTGTTGTCCAATAGCTTCAGTTATTGGAGGAAATGATTCCCCTTATTTTCATTTTCCCATGTCTGATTGGAACTCAAGAAATTGGTGATTTCAAGCAAAGATAAAGAGACCTATTTCAAGATTATGTATGTCGTTTATTCTTCAAGCCTTCGTATCAGTTTGTAAAAGTTTTTTTTTTACGTTGTACTCTTTCTGGGTAATGAACATTGTAAAATGCTCCTTGACATGACCATTCTGGATGAAGATTTCGTTACCAATTTTTGCCTTTTGGTAAAATAATATAACTGAAGAAATGTCTTGTTTCTGTGTTGTGACACTAGTGACAATGCAAGTTGCTTTGTCTTTTGGGCAAGTATCACATTCACAATGTCAGAGTGACAACCTCTAAGCCAGATTTTACTTTGTTTTCAGGTGACATTTTTCCAAAGTAATATCAAAAACGTAAAACATGTTTTAGTTGGATCGTTTCAAATTGGAAAAATTCATTAGACCTGATGTTGTTTTCCTCTTTTTATGTTCATTTTCTTATTTTTGTCATGTTGTGTGGCTGTTGTCTATTTTAATCCCTCGGATATGTTTGTAATGTTGGGGTTTGCAGTGGTTATTGTTCTAAACACTACGAGGGAAAAATGCTGTTGCCGACTGCGCGAAACAAGGCGACCAACACACAACAGTTCCGGGACGTCATTTCCTGGAGGCACGTGACCGCGCGGTATTTAAGGTATGGCGCGGGCGGGAGGGTGCTTGTAGGTGTTTCAGACACATTATTTTTCTTCCTGGAGCGGTTGCCAGTTATCATTGTAAGCAGTCTTTCCTGCTCTCCGCTAAATACCGCTACTTCCCCCTCATCTCCGCATCTGGCCGAGGTTGGTGGCAGATTACGGATGCTTTAGTGGGCTCCTCATATTGTCGTTTGGTCGGTCTGTAGACTCGCTTTTGCCTGCTTTTGATCCTGGGTTTCGCCGCGAACGCTGCAGCTTGTATAGGCTCCTGTTCGTAGAGATTTGACTGACTACTTTCTGCAAGTCTGCGGGGATTCGGATCCATTCACACGGCTGCTGTCGGGTATCGGGAGGCGTCGGAGACTCCGCTTGCGTTGCGGCTCTTTCCGCTTCCGTCGGGGGTTTTGCTCGGACTCGCCCGTCGTGCTCCGTGGTTCGGGGGGCTTTATTTCGCTAAATGCGCGGGTTTTTTCCCCCAGGTGAACGTCTGAAGATGATCTCGATCAACAAACAGAGGCCAGGCGACGCGGCTTCGGAGATCACAAAGGTGAGAGCCGCCTAGGACGTGTGTGTGTGTGTGTGTGTGTGTGTGTGTGTGTGTGTGTGTGTGTGTGAGAGAGAGAGAGAGAGAACTGCCTACAGCCAGAGTAAATGGTTACCCTGATAGCGTATGATTAAATCTCCTCCAATATCAGACTAAAGTGGCAGCCATCATGTGGTGTCAAACATGAGTAGGTGGACCAGCAGAATAGTAACTAGTGGAAAACCGGTGGTTTTGCTATTTTTACTAGTTAATGCTTGAAGTGCTTTTGTTTGATCCGTTTTTGATCTCGAATTTAGTCAGTGAAGTGAGGAGGTGTGGTTTGGGTCTCTGTGTCCATGATTGGGTGGCCTACGGTTCAAATCCCATGGCCAGCCAGACAGTATCTATGAGGCCCTTGTGCAAGGCCCTTAATCCTAATCTACTCTCACCTGTGTCTGTCTAAATAGTAATTTCTGTGTACCTGTATCCATACTCTGTACAAATGCTCAATTAAAATGCTTCCTCTTTATGTTCTGTTTCTGTAATCTATGGGACCGTCCCACCCCCACCCCCACCCCATTCTGTTGAGGCTGAAATGCTCATGCCTTTGTAGGGGCCTTGCTAGATCTGTAGGGGGGGGGGGGGGATTAAATTGTGGCAGTAGTTCATTGGGCTTTTTTTGCAGGCGCTTGTCAGATTATTGGTAATGAACAATAATAGACAAGGTTTCTGTATCTAACTTGATTACTGTACTTCCGTGTTTGCATGCATGAGGAAAAACATTAACCTGCTCTCTACTGGTGCTGGATCTTTGATCACTTCAGAGCCAGTTCCCACGGTTATTTGTTGAAGAATGTTTGTTTCGGTAAGACGATAACTTGTGGAAGCTACCCAGTGCCCGTGGGAACCAAATGCTGCCCGTAGAGTTGAATTTCCCACATTAGCAATGCAGTCAGACATGAAGGGCTGGTCAGCCCGTTTACTCATTCGCTATCCCATGACAGAGTAACCAGATTGCTCAGGTGGAAGAATGGGGCTAATCCTGTCTAAATGTGGGCTGTCTATAGAAGTCAAGAAAGTGATTAGGTTCCTCAGCTGGGTGTATTAAGTTACTTCAGTTGAGGGTTTTCATGGAAACTACCTGATGTGAGCAATCTGAATGCATGTTGAGAATGTGTACATCTGCTCCTCCTCTCCCCACACAGAAAGCTCTTTCAGGAACTACCCAAGGTGCTGCTTCAGTCAGGAGAACACTGCAAGTCCTCCAGCCATCTGTGATAAATGAGAACCACGGAAGAGGGCGAGAGGTAAATTGAGGGGGGTGTGTGAAAGGACTAATCTGGGGAGTTGAATGTTGGGTTTGTACCTTTTTGACTTTAACCTCCATGTTCAGCCAGGAAAGGCCCCCCCAAAGAGGAAGCTGTGGGGAGCCAAGCAGGTAAAGGGCTCAAAGAGGGTCAAAGCTGAAGTGGCGGTGAAAGACCAAAATGCTGAAAATGATGCTGTGGCTGAGGGGACGGCGAAGGGCAGCTATGAGCTGATGGTCAAAGGTGTGTCCTGTGCCTGCGGTGTTTGGGCTTCAGGATTTCTCGTTCGCTGCCGCTTGGGTGGTGGTGTGTTTAACAAATGATGATTTATTCCAGAGACCCCTCCGTCTACCTACTGGAAGGAGGTTGCTGAGGAGAGGCGTAAAGCTCTGTCCAACGTCCTTCTGGAGAATGAAAGGGTATGTTGTCAGAGTTGCTGACAATTCTCATCGAACCAATCTGCTGCATTATCCCTGTTTGTATGAAGTTTGTTCAGACTGCCACTCTCAGCCACCGTGGCTCTGTCGTGAAAGTGGCAACCGTTTCTTTTCTTTCTTCCCCCCTTAGTACTTGGTTTAATGGGTTTTTCCTCATGCAGTTGCATAAAGACATAGAAGCCAAGGAAGTACAGATCTCCAAGCTGAGGAGTGAGAATGAGGAGCTGCAGGAGCTGGTTCAGCATGTCCAGCACATGGCCGACATGATCGAGGTGAGGAGCTTGGCGCTCATGCTTTACTCTGCTCTCTCACACAGGCTCATGCATGGTCTTCATTTATTTTTTTAAGAGGTTAACTGGAAAGAGCCCACAGAGCCTGGATGATCTACAAGAGCTTGCTTTTGATGGAGAGGATGAGGATGCTGCAGAGAGTGAAGATGATGATGATGCAGAGAGTGATGATGATGCTGCTGCAAATAGTGAAGCTGAAGATGAGTCAAGTGTCTGTAGTGAGGAAGACCCAGAAGAAAAGTGATTATGCTTGTCTGTGGAACTGAAGACCCGTAAAGAGGCCATTTTTACTGTCTGTGGACCTGCTGTTGTGTGAAATGTAACTTATGACTTTTTTGCAAGTGGGTGTAATTAAGGCCCCCCCCCCCTTTTTTTTTTTTAAGTCGCTTGACACTAGCCTTGATTTGCCAATTGCTTTGTTTACTGACCAGTGCTGCCATGCTACTTTGCCATGGATGTTGATGCACATTCTGTATATACTGTAAATGTGACTTAAACTGTAAAATAAAAGTACTTTTTACACAGCCAGCTTCTGGCAAATCTACCTTTTTGGGAGAACTTGTGTAATGGGGCTGCTTTTGACAAGTGGGTGTTTTTAATATGGGGTTGCTGTCAAAGTGCCTGGGCTTGGTCTGGTTTTCTGCCTTGCCACACTTTTCACTTCCTAGCATTGAGGTGTCTGGTTAAGTTCGCAATGACCTAGAACGTACTGAAGCTCTTGAGTATAGTCGGTCCCATCTGTGACCCTGTGCTGTGGTGGTGTTTCTATTCCGCCCCCCCTGGCTGCAGTCTGTCACATGATTGGAGGAATGCAATTCTTCTACTACAGTTGCAGGGGAGAGGCTGGGACAAGACTGTGCAATGAAAGGATGTGAACATTAATAAATGGGATACATAGCTGGTTCCAGGAATTCTTCCCGTGTCAAGTGCTGTGGATGTGGCCTCCTGCAGCTTGGTGAGGTAAGTGGTACGTTAACATGGCTGCACCTGCCCCCTAAAGCACATACACTAGCATATTCAAGGAGGTGGCTGTGTGGGGGAAGAAGCTGAGGGCAGTATGTGACATTCCTGCAACAGCAGAGGAAGTCTGGGTCTTAAAGGAGATTCCCATCCCTCAGCTCCATGTTGCGATTAGTGGAAACTCGGGGGCTCTGTGACAAACTTAGTGAATTTGTAGAAAACCGCTCTTGCAGTTGCTGGAGTGTCGGGCCTTTCTGCATTATTTTGGTAAGTGACAATTGTGTTCAAGCCTCTTCACATTAGTTTCCTGTAATTGAGGGTGTAGACGGCCAGTCACGCCAGTTAAAGGCTCAGTGACTTAATTGCTTAGGATTAGTGGTTGGGATTGTGCAGGACGGAGTTAACAATGGAGACCTGGGCTATCTTCATGTGGCTTTCAAATTGCTCCATGGAGTGTGGAAGTTCACAGGGCTGCCTGCTAAAATACCACAGAAACACACAAACTACAGTCAAACCAACTTTTTAGCTGCCATTATGCAAAAATAAACTTTATTGCCACTTTGAATAAACAGGAAGGGTTCTAAACTGAAAACAAAAAGCAATCAGTACTGGAATAAACATGATCAAAAATAAGTCACCATACTTACTCAATTCCAAGTCAGATCTTTGCCCTTTTAAGTTAATTTGGGGAAAATATACAAAGAAAGATTAACCATAACTTGGAGCCACTGAGCTTAAGGGCCTTACTCAAGACCTCAATGTTAAAACCATTCTGCTGATCACAGGATCTGAGGCACCTTCCAATCAGAGGCATGCATACGGTCTTAACCCGCTGAGCCACAGAGTGACTTGGATTTAAATAAATACAGTTTACAACACAGGTCATGTGATCTCAGTGCAATAATACAAACCATCAGAGGAAGCAAACAAATAATACTAAATTATGAAAACCATATAATTCACAGTTAGAAAAGGATTAATAGGTGCTTAGTCAAGCAAAAAGTTGGATGGGCAAATGCATGAGGAACTCAGATTTTTAATATTCACATTTCCATACAAGTGAGGATGTTTAGAATACTGACATATCGAGGTCACTCTCGACAATAGATTTGTTGAACCCAGTTCACATTACGTTAATATGAATATGTTTGTACTGGATCAGAAATATTACTTGAATTACAGGGATTTCACGTTGGTCTCTTCCAATTTTGGGGAAAAAGTAGATAAATCTGCCAATGGATGTCAGTATTTTTAGTTGCCAAGGTGAATGCTTTAAATAACTAAACGCATTTTACTTTAATAAAAACAACTTAACAGTGATGAGGTGATGCTGGTGAATCAGGTGTAACAAGCTGAGCATACAGTTTTTACAGTTCAGTTACAACCAGCTAAAGACCTCTAAAGAGGGAGGGGCTTGTGGTCATGTGACCATGGCCACCCAGTGCAGTCCCAGTAACACAACAAGTAATATTCCCCATAAAAAAAATAAAAGCCTCTGCTCTCATTATTAATTATAACCGACACAGATACTGATCAAGAACATTAATATAAATACACAGCTCATTTACAATTCAATCTACAACAAAAAAGTTAAAAGATAATCCAATTTTTGAGGCAGAGATAAAAATATATAAAGGAAAAGCTGTTAATCGTCCATTTAATGCAGTGATATACAGTAGGCACAAAAGCAAACCACTCCCAGTATCTGCCTGTTTTTACAACCCAAAGTGCATATCCTTTCAAATATGTGACTGAATTCAAGGTCTGTCACAAATCTCCTGGATTAAATGCAGTGACAAGCAGCCACTGCCAGAAAAGGCCCGCTATCCACACGGCCCCTTTGTCCCCACATCAGCACTGTACCTGGACCAGCAGCCAGAGAGCAAACACCATGAATCTGACCGTGCTGGGCTGCGGACTGCTGATCCCAGGTCAGCGTGACAGACGTGAGCATGGAAAGCCCTGCGCAGCTGACGTCTGAGACGGTCAGCAAGGTCCCTGACAACTGGCTGAAATGTGCCCTGTTTGCAACGTCCCCTAGAGTGCAAAACACCACTGAAACAATAATTAATACTTATTACAATAAGGATAAGAGTCATAAGAATAAAGAACAACCATAGTAATAATAATTATAATAAAAATGTGCAGACAGAAATGGCTTAATATTGGTCAGAATGATGCATGTGGGTTCAGCCCAGATCGGGAATCTCAGTCTCGCCTCGGTGACACTCCAGGCCCCTCAGAAGGCTGTGGTGACGGCATTGCCCCGCCGCGTGCCAACACGCACCATCTCCCGGGGCACCTTGTCCAGCTGCTCGTACGCCATCTTCCCCTCCTCACCTGCGCAAAACACCAGCAGACACACCCACGTCAACCTACAGCCAATCGGATAATAGGGGCGGGAGTCACTGGAATCGCGCACACGGCGCGGCGCTCACTCACCGAGGGTGAGCAGCGTCTCCATGGCGACGTGCCGCAGCTCTTCATCCGCCGAATCGCACAGCGATGCCAGATTCTCAATGCTCTCCGAGGCCTGGAGGGGAACGGGAGAACAGTGACGCACAGTCAGTTACGCAGCCCGAGAGGTCACCACTGCACAGCCAATAATAATTTCCCTAACACTTGTGTAATTGATAGAAGTCCTCACCAACATAACATAATTCAGTTAAAAAAAACATTTTATTGTTTATTGTTTTATTGTTAACAGTATTTTGAACAAAAGCAGAACAAAATATTTAGTAAAAGTTTTGTTACATAAGACTCAAATGCATGTTCCAAAAACGTGTGTTGCCAACAGGGCAGTTGTGGTGTGACCTCCGGTGGACAAACTAAGCAACAACACCCATAACAAGGCTGACGGATCCACCTTCCTTCTCTCAGTTTCTTTTAATCCATTGGCTGTTATAAACATCGATACTGATTTATCTGCAGTTAGGTCATAACCACTGCGAATATCAACATGCTAATCTGTCGGTGGGGCAGGTCTCCACTCCCCAGTGCTACCCACCTGCAAACAGCCGAGAGCAGCACAGGCCCCCCTCACCGTCTGCAGTCCGGCCGCAGACAGCTGCTGAATGTAGGCCTCTACTGCCTGTCGTCACACACACAGTTCTCAGTCATATCCGTGTACTTATGAGTGGAAAACATCTTTCATCAAACTCCCATAAAGCACGCTGACAGACTCAGACAACACCAAGATAAAACTCCATAGACAACATGATCATTAGGGTTGTGACGGTCCATTGAAGCGCCGCGGCGACGTCGGAACTGCAGAACACAGCTGACCTTTGACCTGAGATCTGATTGGCTGGCAGCAGAGGTCAGGAAAGCGGCTGCGGCCCTTTTGAGGTCGGGGTTGTCGGCCAGCAGCAGGGAGGCTAGAGCCTGCAGTGTCTCCATCTGAGGCCAAAGTCTGCAGGCCGGGACGTCCTCCAGCTCCCTGCAGACCTGCTCGGGGTCCCCAGAGCGCAGGACGTCCACAAGGGCCACTGGACAGAGGACGCCGGCATCAGTCAGCAGGTTAACGAGTATTAATAATAATAATCAATCATCATCAACATCATCTAAAAAGCTAAGAGACAAAGCAGGTAGTAGTTTAAGTTTGTATAGAGAAATGTTTTTAAATGCTTTGGAAGTCCTTCCCCCTGCAGACTAGAACTCAAACTCAATAAAAATTTCTCCCCATTCTTCCTGCTATTTTTAGCAATGTTAATATGCGACAAAACTACGTACAAGTACCAAGATATCTATCCATCTCTTTTCTGTACCCTGCTTGTCCTATGCAGGGGTCCGGAGCCTATCCCGTTAGCTACGGGAGTACGGCAGGGAACAACCCAGGATAGGGCATCAACCCATAGCTGACCACGTCCATGCGCGCACACACACACGGGCAATCTGGCAACTTGGATTAACCTCATCATGTTTCTGGAAGGAAACCAGAGTACCCAGTGGAATCCCCACCATGACAAGGGGAGAGCATGCAAACTCCATGGCAGAGACTCAAACCCTGATCTCAGAGGTGTGAGGAAATTATAGTTAATGTTTTATTACAATGAATAAAACTGTCTGTGAACTTTCACAGAGTGCGAGAGGGTAAAGCTCATCATATCACGTAGTCAAATTTTATGCCACATACTGTACACAATCATACACTGTTCTACCGCGCAGTGAAATGCTTTATTATACCCCATCTTACCCCATGCTCTCCCTTCCGGTCTTACCCTCTCTGGCCAGCTGCTGCAGCTCCTCCCCCAGGTCTTCCACAGCATGAGCCGAGGTGTAACTCTGGAACTGGAAGACGGTGAGGATGTCCTGGGCCGGGGCCGCTGGTAAGGGGTTCCTGTCCACCATCTCACTCACCACCAGCCGGATCACTGTGGGTCAGAAATGTGCAAGCATCCTCCACTGAGTATTCTACTGCGGAAAACGACTTATCCAGTGCAATCGTTTTCAGTATTTCACTGCTGATGACCTATGAAATTTTGCTTCACCTATTCTTATTAGGCATAAAGATTACAGTTCCTTGTAGTGCAGTGGGAAAGAGACACATTAAAGTGGTGAGGAACTACAAAAGTTCCCCGTCTAGATGACCCCAGAACTTGAAACTAGGAACCAGTTTACTGAACTTTGGTGCGAAGGTGCCTGTACCAGTAGCAGTAACTGGTTATCGTACCCGTGTCTGCAGCATTCTGGTGCTTCTCCTCCAAGGCTGGGCCAAAACAGAGGTGCATGTGCTTGAGAACGTGGTCCAGTGAGGCGTGGAACAGGCCAACAGAGCCGCTGAAGTCACACCACAAGGCCAGCAGGGCGGGCTTCTCCCCCAAACTGGGCAGCACTGGGGGGGATAGAAGTACAATAGCACAGGGCCCAGGGCAGCAGGAACCGGAAAGCTGGGCTCTCTGACACCCACCGTCAGCGACGGAGCTGACATTGCCCATGTGGTCTGAGCTGATCTCTCCCAGCATCTCCAGCAGCTGCCTCTGACTAGCCAGCTTGCACAGCTGGGAAGCATGCTGTGATGGGCTCCCCCCAGTGGACAGGAGCTGTAACCACATGCGGTGAATGGACAGTTACAAAAGCTGCCAAAAGTAGATTCCAGCTCATTACACTAAAATATTTGAAAGTGTTGAAATGGTCAGAGCACCTGGACGAGATGGGCACAGTACTGCAGGTGCGTGATGACCGCCACGTCCAGGCTCTCGTTGCCCGTGGTGAGGGGGAGCGGGCTGCCGGCCACACTGTTCCCCACACCGGTGTCCTCAGTCAGGGCCTCGCTCAAGTGGCCCCTGGCCTCTGGGTGTTGGACTGGCCTGGCAGTTCAGCACAAAGTCAATCGCGGTTATTACATGACCAGTGAACGCTTCACGATACGAAGGCAAAAACAAATGGACACAAGGGGGCGCCAGTTGAACAAAGCCAAATTCACAACACACAAGACAGCAGAGGAAGAAACTCCTCCCAGGAACAAGAGCGAGGAAAGAGAACGAGAACGAAAAAGTGAGGGAGAAAGAGAGAGCAGCTCACCACAGGTACTGTAACAACCCCCCCCCTCCCCCCCAAAGGAAACAGAGACCTGGGTCATAAATGACCCGACTCCATAGCACAGAACAATAGGGCTGGAGACCAGACAGGGGAGAGAGGGGGGACTGGAGTTAATCACACGCAGAGCACGACATGCCACGAAAAATCGGGGTAGGACAGAGGAAGCCAGGGGGCCAGTTCTAGCAGACAGTGGACGGAGACGGGGTATGTGGCTCGTCCGACACCCCTGACTCACCCCGTCCTCTCTGGCTCTGTGTCAAAAAACACGGAACGGGGGAGGCCGTCGTCTCCCGTGTCGTCGTCATCAAAGTCTGAGGTGTTGAGGAAATCAAAGCTCTCAAGAGCGCTCTCAACAGTCAGACTGAGACTGGAGCACCTGCTGTGCTGGGCAGGGACTCGGCACTAAAAACAGAGAAGGAGCAGCTTGAAATACGGCCCGGCCTCCAGGGGGCGCACGAACGCCAGCATCGAAGATTTCGAAATAAAAGCCACAAACCCCAGAGACACGGGGGATCTGAGGACAACGTAAACGTTTTTATGCAAACATCTCAGGAGGTCATGAGTTTGATGAAAATGTAATGCCATGGAGCACCACGGAGAAGAGCCATCTTACCTTCAGCAGGTCCTCCAGACGCATGACCTCCTGCTCCAGCTCCTGCAGCTCCCGACCGCGCTCCTCCAAGCCCTCCAGCCTCAGCAGCAGGCCCTGGATGGCCTCTTCCAGGCTGCTGTTCCCGGGGGTCGGTGTGGGAGCCTCCTCCGGACCCCAGCCAGGCGGCCCTTCGGGCAACATGTCGGTTGACGTCAGCCGCTTCACCAGCTGCTTGGTCAGGCTGCCCTCATCCGTGTCCAGCTCCACGGGCTTGAGCTCAGAGCCTTCGTCTTGAAGCAGGGCGTCAGACACGCCGGGATCCAGGAACATCTCCCCAGCATCCAAACACGGAGAGCCGCCGGGCCCCACCCACTCAGGCTCCAACTCCCTCTCGCAGGCCACAGGCTCCGCCTCCTGTGGCTGTGGCTCCTCCTCCTGTGGCTCCGCCTCCTCCTGACACAAAGACTCTGTGTCTGGAGGTGGGGGCGTGACCGTGATCTCTGGGTTGTACTGGGCAGGGGGGGGACCAGCCTCAGGAGTGTCAGACAAGCTGAAGGACAGACGCTTGGACTGTATGTCACAACTGCCGTTTTCAAACACGTCGTCACGCAGAGCCACCTGCAGCAGAGAAACAGCAGAAAGAGAGAAGAGCAGGTGAGAACTTATCGAACCCTGGCACAGCAGACGGAGCAAACGTTCAGGTCGTGAGCCTAACACAGCAGAAGGCACACATTTACAGAGCTCCCCAGTCCTCCTTCAGACTACAGAGATGCTGAGCACATGGGGGGGGGGGTTGGGGGGGGGCACGGTACACACTGGCACACTCACGTAATCGTCCAGGCTGGATTTTGGGTGCAGCTGCAGCGAGGCCAGGTGACCCAGTGAGCGACTATAGCTCAGCTTTTCTACCAGGGTGTTACGCAGCACGTGCAGGACGGAGAGACGCTGGCGGTCCTTCAGGGGGTGGGGGGGCGTGGAGGGGGGGACGTTTGTTAGTGCAGCAGCATGGCCAGCGGTAAGCATGCAGCACAGATGCACGCAGACACGGACAGACACATGCAGGATAACGCTCAGCGATCTGGAATGTTCCCTCACTGCGCCGGAGGCAAGATGGGGAAGGGGAGATGTGGGGGAAGCAGTGTTTACGGCTGGGGGGGCGGGCACTCACAAAGAAGGCGGAGTCCTGGAAGGTGGGGGTCTCGGGTGTACCTTGGCTGTACACAGAGACACGCCTCTGTAGGGCGGTGGTTTTGTTTAGGTTACCCGAGGACAAGGTCAGGTCCTCCACATCAAATGGACTGTAGGAGGGAGGGAGAGACGGTCACACAGATACCCTCTGATGTCCCCGGAGATCCATGTTTGAGAACGATGAATATAGCAGTCAATAATTAACACCAATTAATAATAAATAGCAGCAAAATAAACATGTGGCCAAAGCATTCCTCCCAAGTTGTAGGGGACTTTAAAAGGTATGCGTCAATAAGCTTCAACCAACTGTACCAAAACAGTCCAGCAGATGGCAGTCTTGACATCCATCTTTCACCAACGTTGAACTTCATGTTGAACGTCATTTGAAATCTGACATGACGGCTATACTTACAACCAGGTCACCTCTAGGTTGAGCTTGATGGTCCCCAGGTCGTTGACGTCCACAGCCACCACCTGAGGCCTGGCTGTAAACAGATCCTTGGTCTCGCAGATGACGCTGCCCACGAGGACATGTGTGGCCAGACCTTTCAGCTCAGACACCTGGCATCAGAGGAAAAGCAGAGGCATCAGTGGCATCAGGAAGCCTATAAAGTGATCAGGGAGGGTGCCGTGTGAGGAGGGAGAGCGAGAGAGAGAGAGCACTCTCACGGTCGCCCCTAGAGACAAGGCCTCACTGCATGACACATCCTAACCAAATACCCAGGGCTTTTCTCAATATGCCTATTGGATCGTACTTGTGTTCTCAGGTCCCTGTTTTACGTCATCTTCCATTGCCGAAGACCATTTCCAATTCCAAGAAAAGTAGTACAGAGGATGATGAAAATCCAGGGTGTCGTTCTTGCCCCGCCCCCAAACGCCAGCCACACCATTACCAAACGAGATCAATCCCATGATTCACTGCACCCCAAATTAATTCTTGGAAGGCAGGGTAGCAAAGCCGTTCTTGGTATCGAGAAACGCTCTGGTGGCGGTGAGTAGGTTTCATGTCGGCTACATGCTTATGTTTTTGTTGCTCTGCCTTCACCTTGATGGAGATCAGGTCGGTGATGAGCGGCACGAAGACCATCTCCTCCCCATCCCAACTCTGCCTGGAGCTCGCCTCGATCCTGCCCTTCAGCTTCCAGCGCTGCCGCCCGTAGCGCATGAAGATCTGGGGGGGGATGCGGGAATCGGTGAAGCGGGAAAGATCACGACGCTTCCGGGAACACGGATCATGGAACACCTGAGACGGTGACCTTTAAGCCATCGTGAGTAATGCTTACTTCATACTGGTCGCCTTGACAGAGTCGAGCAAAACCAGCCAGACCTTAGAGGGAGAGAGGAAGGAACAGTTAATACCCTGGTTTAAACACCCCCCCCCCCCCAAAGTCAGTGCTAACATTTCTCTTACCTTTCATCTTGATGTGAAATTCCCCCAAGAGTTTCTCCAGCTCTCCCTCAAAAGTACACATGTTCTGCGGGGAACAATGAAGGAACACAGCTCTCAGACGCTCCCGTTATTAAATCCATTCGAAGAGGCTTTAGTGTTTCACAGACACCACTCAGAACCCTAACTGGCCTTAGGAAGGAAGTTCTGCCTGGGTGTGCTGGACAGAGCGGCCGTGTCACCTCGCTGTACTCCTTGTATCGCCGGTTGACCTCCGCCAGGCTCTCCCGCGTGCTCTTGCTGGACGGCGATGCCGTGAAGGCCTGCTTCATCTTAATGGCGCCATCGCGCAGACGCTGCTGGACACAGAACGCCTCGTACATCTCGTCTACCTAAGGGGATGGGATGCATAACAAGTCAGTGGCATCTCTCCCAGTTTTGTTGGTGGAGACATCATGTTAGCATGCAATCCTTAGGGAGAGGGGCCAGGTCTGTAGACACACCAGTCTGTCCAGAGGGACACATCCTTTGATCGATTATTCAGACCAAGGGGCAAACAAAATCCTAGAAATTGCATTACTGCAGATGCTTTTACCCAAAGCAACATACAATTTGAGAAAAGTCAGAAAGGCCTCGGAGCAACGGAGCACGCCGACCACGGGATCTAAATCGACAACCTTCCAGTCCCCACCCAGGTGGGGGAGCACTTCCTGTTTTTGCCTCACCCTCTTCCTGTAGTGGTTTGCGGTTCCACTGGGGATACAAGCCTGTTGGTTTCACAAAGTCCATAATAACTTCTTTCCCCTTTCTGTGCTACTGGCGCGTGTCACATGCCGGGTGCACGTGGTTCCTTAGAGTGCCCCCTTGTGGCCAAGCCGGCTCTCCAGCTCCCTCCCCCTTTTAGCCTCAGGGAGGTGTCTGTTACTCCATTTCTTTATCTAGACAGAAGATGATATCATTCTAGAAAAAACACGGATGAATTTAGCTACTGGATTAGGTCAGGTTGAAATCATGGTAAATTAACTTCACCGTGGAACTTCTTGCTATTGCTCATATATTACCAGAAGAACTGCCCCCCCCCTGATGAATATACACTCTACCAGGAGCCTTCAAATCTACTACCTACCCACCTCAAAAGGCTCCAAACAAGCCTTCAAAACATCCATCTCAACACCGTGCACCACTGCAGAGCAAAAATTTCAGCTTAACTTACACGCTTCAACAATAGTTATGTTACTATGAGAAGTCAACTGACATTTGCCTTTGGGGTCAATCTGACCTCAGGGTAGGTGTGAGAGTTAAATATCATGCCCCACCCTGGCGACACCTGCGGCTTGCTTTTCCGTTTACCCAACGCTGCTTCTTGTTAGGGCCGAGCTCACTGCAATCGTCACTGACAATTGTGCCAGAAGAGCCGCTTTCACAACCCGCTGACCAGGTCACACGGAAAAAGTCCTCCGTGAGAATTTCATCCGAAGACTTGCATCTGAAGTTATTTTAGTCGCTCTATAGTGACTGACAAAGATCGACAGCCGATGCAGAAAGTATTTAAACACACTGCCTCTAGGGGGCAGTAATGCTGTCAGGGTGTGGCTTGCACATCCTTGGAGCGCAGTATATAAAAACTCCCACATCACAGATACTACGGGGCCTCATAGAGACAGACAATAGTAAGACGCCCCATGACAGGGACTCATGTCACAAAGGTGGGAACACGAGATCCAAACCAGAGGAGGGTAGGGAAGCCTGACCTAAAACGACAGGAAGTCCCGTCCATGTAGGTCGAGTCTGCGAGAGGGAGGGCAGTGTCGACAGGAAAGCCCCCCAGGGAGGCTGAGGACTCATTGCTGAGCTCTCTCCAGGAGCAGAGCAGGAAAGCACCAAACCATCCTTATTAATGCCTGCACTGCAGGCACTTCTGCTTAAGATCACTCAACCAATCAGTCAACCAATCAGCTTCCAGTCAAAGCAGTCATAAAATAATTAAGGTAAAAATTACACATCTTCCTTTCTTCATATAGACATTCATACTCTTGAAAGTGCTTATCAAATAGCAGAAGTCCATGGCTCAAATCGACATCAGGCTCTTCATCACTCCTGCAAAGCTTCTGTTGTCCTGTTGCTATGGATACCTCTGCTTTAGCGCATCACCATGTTCTCCAAAAATGGCATCACGCTCTCCGCAGAAAGTGATAATAGACCCAATTATACAGTTAGTATTCTAGGCAGCTGCAGGTCCTCTTCATCTTCCTCCACCCCTCTTACCCTCTTCCCCGGGGCATCCAGTCTGGACTACGTGCCAGTGCCCCACTCTGAAGACCACATTGGCCATTACCGGCAGGAAGAGGGAAGATCATCCCAGGCTCAATGGCTAAAGAGTTTCTACATGAAGGCAGGATATAGAACCATTTATATCCCATCAGCCCAGTGTTTCCTAACTCAGTCCTCAGGGACCCACAGACGATCCATGTTTTTGCTCCTTCTCAACTCTCTGCCAGATATTTCCCTACCAGAAGCTGGGAGGGAGGAAAAATGTGGACCATCTGTGGGTCCCCACGGACCGGCCTGGGACTCCCTGCATGGGCAGCCCCTCGCAAAGAGACCATAACCACAATGGACAACTGTTGCTGTGACGAAGACTGGCTTCCACAAGGTGATGAGCACGTACCTTACTGATGTGGAACTCCAGCCGACGGACGTATCTTTCAACTGCTTTGATTTGCTGTCGGAGGTGCCACAAAGACAATAGTGTCATTAGTGACACCCCAGAGATATCACATCTTTTAAATAAATAAATAAAATAAGGGAACAGATTGTCCTGTGCTAGACATCGCTTTTTTTTCTCAACATCTGACAGTTTATAAAACCAGTACAAATTACTCACTTTGTCAAGATCATAGAGCACCCCCTATAGAAAGCATATCAGAAAAAAAATGCACAAATTAGTACAGAAACAGAGGTCTGAGTAAATGACAGCGCAAACTGTAACATGGCCACTTTGAATCAAAGTAAGAAACACAAATCTGACAAATCTCACGCTCAAGGGGGTGTTTGTACTGTCGCACCCAAAACTTTCTCAGAGCAAGATGGTGTGTTTGTACAGTACGTGGAATCACAGTGCCATTGGGCCGGCAGCAAGATCAATTATCATGTCATTTTCTATCTCACCAGTCTGGAGTTCCTCTTCATATCTTTCATCAGAGACGTAAGTTTCTCCAACTCCACCTGGTGTACTTCGAGATACTCACTGCAGGAGGGAAGGAGAGAGAAAGAGAGAGAAAGACAGATAGAGGGAGAGAGGGGAATCAAATACAGCATACACAAATATAAAAAGAATAAGAGGACTTGATATGTTCTATCAGTAATTAAGAAACACGAGAACGTGAGCAACTGTGAAGACCTGTGCAGCCGGTATGGGAAGTGCACTTACTCAAGACCTCGTTTGAGAGCTCCATAAATCTCCTCCACCCTCCGGGGCTGGGGTTCATGCGAGCTGCTGCTGGATTTGTGGTTTGACGCATGACCCTTCTTCAGCTTTGCTTGGGGCTTCTTCTGCACAATGGAGTTGCCCATGAAGGAGTTACACCTGGAAAGCAGCAGACGGTCATTGTGGAACTAAGGCAGGGAGACCGGAACATCTAACCGTCACATCACTGGCATCACTGCAGAGGACTGGGACTAGAATGGTGGACGGCCAAGCCCAAAGTGTGCCTACAAGCTCACTGAAAACCTGCAGTACCTGCCGTTCTCGTTCAGCTCGGCAGAACATAGTGGAAAGTTCAACATGTAGCCAAGGCCCAAAAATCAGAGCAGGGGCTACAGTTTGCAAGAATCCAGGCCACATGGGCTTGCAATGGGCACTCAGTCACAAGGCCAGCCAATCACAGACTCGCTGTGCTTACATGACGGGTTAGGGTCATTTGTCCAGTAATTAGTCAGCTTGATATTAAAGGTAATTATGCTGTTAATGGCCTTGGAACACATAGTACAGACGGACTGAGCCAAATGACCTACCGGGATCGGCGCTCCTGCAGCGTACTGAAGCCAGCGAATGACTGGCTCCGGATGATGCCGTTGGGGCCGCCGGGGGAGTAGGAGCCTGCGGCCATGATCTCGGGGAAGCGTGACGACAGTCCTGCAGGAAGACAGGAGGGTTACAACAGCGTGAAGAGCGGGAGGAGGAAGGTCCCAATTCACGATTAATGGTGCACCACCGTGGAAATATTTGCTGATAATAACTGATATTGTTTAGTAACACTGTTACATATACCGATAACTGCCTAACCTGAGCTCCAGAAATCTGTAGAGAAACTGAGACTGTAGTGAATACGAAGTGGTGAATGAGCTGATGAAATCCCTTCTCCTCCACTACGGAAAATGGCTGATAGTCCAATGCCATCATCTCCATTATTTCAGCAGTTATGTCTTTAGCACTGGTGCTGCTAACTATGAATACTGACTAAAATCTAATTATCGGCTAACATGAGACAAAGACTGACACGAAGAGATGCTGGTGTCTCAATTTTATCAACATTGGCCAATACTGATGTTATCTGATATATTGCGCATCTCCAGTCTTGATCTTTTGTTTCCCCAATGTATGAAAATGCTGCAATGCTCATGGGCCTTATGGTGATCTCTACAAGACTGCAAATGCATACAGGAACCAGCTAGGATGCCACATTCAGGCAATGTGTGCAAACCTGCATGCACACTGCAAACCAGTGATACAGCTGCTCAGTCACTACTGGTCAGACAGTGGCTGATGTGAGAGCCGTCCTACAGATAAAGTGAGGATACAAAAATGCACGAACTCTGCAGTTTTATTTCCTCTCCTCTGTTCTCTTCCGGCTCTTATTCACCACCCATTCACACTGCAGCTACCCTAAATTGCCCCTGCTGTCTGACTCTGTGTAAAGCACTTTGGAGCTGAACACGCTGGGAAAGGCGCTATATAAAAATTAACCAAACAGAATTCAATTGAATTACAGAGAACGTACACAGCTACATAATGCTCCCGTTTGCCCAAACATTTGCGCAATAATCGATCAGATGAAACGGGTCGGCATAAAGTTGCCATCGGCTGTGAGGGTTAGAGGCCAGGGTGCTGTGATGCTGGCCGGATTGGGCTGGATGACAGACGGTACCAGAATAATCCGGCAGGCAGGACCGGCCCCCAGGGCTACAGCGGCCTTGCTTTAACAGGCCATTTAGCAGCTGTGCTAAGTGCACATCTCCATTTGTATAGCAGCAGATTCAGGAAGGCCACAGCAAGCCCCTCCCCGTGAAAAAAAGACAGACAGACCTGCAACGATGCGGCTGCACGGCCAGCGCTGCCTCTCCTCTTCTCAGAGAAATGTCACAGCGGCAAGGGCAGCTCTGTCAGGTCAGGACTTCTAATCCGGACAAGTTCAGTTCCCAGAGGAGGGTAAATTCAGGTTGAGAAAGCAATAATCCAGACCAAGATTTTGTTTCGACCAAACAAAATCTTGGTCTGGATTTTTACTTTCTGGACCAGAACTATCCACCTCTGCCAGTTCCCAGCTTTATGTGGGAATCCAGGCTGGTCTAATACTCACACTGACCTGGACAGGATTCTGTATTATGAGAGATTAGTCTTGCAAAATTCTGGGAATTATATGTTAATTCCCATATATTCCTGGTAATTTCCATGGAAAGGTTCCAATTCGGAATATTTCCACAACTCCCCATCTTACCTTCCCATAGAATGGAAAGTTTCTGGAAAGTTTCCAGGAGTTTACCAATCCCTTTGCAACCTTAGTAGAGACGCCTGACATATCAATTAATACATCTGTATCGGCCACTGTTCATTAGAAACCAACCATCAGTCCCACGTGTCAGTCTTAGTCGATATTGCCGGCTGATGTTTAGACTAGATAATATGGAAAGTTAGCAGCACCCCTTACTGGGCAAGTGTCACCCCTCGGTCAACAGGCTTCACCACCAGTACCCCATTCCCTGGTTGGCCAGCTTCACTTCTGTCTGTCAGTATCGTAAAATTAGACAAAAATATATTGGTATTAGTAAAAAAAACTACACACGGGAGCACCTCAAGCCCTTGGGTGACACCCAGCTTCCCTTCTGTGACACTGGCCTCTTCGAGTTGCGAATCAAGCAGACGCTTCAGCCATTGCACAGCTTGAAAAGGCAGTACACTGGGAATCGGCATACGTCAGACCTTTCCCATGCTCCCTTCCTCCAGAGCGCCTGGGAGCAGGCACACGACCGCGAGCTCCAAGGCTTCACCCTCGTTAAGATTCCTGGGCTCTCCTGGTGCATCTCCTGGTCTTTCCTGCCGCTGTCAGAGGGATCAGTCCAGCTATTGAGCCGCACAACCTCGTGAATATTCATGAGCAAAGCAGACCTCTGCTTCTTAGGTGGTTTCGGGATTTTCCACACAAACTAAAGAATAGTAATAGACTGAGAGCTGCCCCAGACACATGGAGAAGGGTACCGTGTTTCAGTACATCTGAGCCTGAACAGGCATTTTATCGGGGCTAGTGTGCAGCACCCATGTGGGATATTTCTGTCTAATATTACAGATACCGGCTATCCTCTGAGCTCCGCGAATCTGAAGTGAAACTAACATTGGGGACATTACTTCTTAAGATCCCATGAATGTGTGTAGTAGCCTCATCATATAATGCAAGCAGGGAGACATCAGCGAAGCGGAGCTGACTTGGGAGACTGTAGCGAGAATCTAAGTGGTAAATGAGCTGATGAAATCCCTCGGAACTTGCTGATGGTCCAAGTGCGATCATCTCCAAAGTTTCAGTAGTTGTTTCTTTAGCTCTGGTGCTGCTAACTTTAAATATTAACTGAAATCTAATAATTGGCCAGCAATAAATCAACCAAGTCTGACACATCAATGCTGATACTTCTCAATCTGGTAAATTTAACTACACATTGAATCAGATGCGGTTTCGTGCGTACGGCCAGGCCAAACTGCAGCGCGGACACAAAGGTCTTCCCTTCCTCCAAGGTCCAGGCATGCAGCGAGATGTCCAATGATGAATCTGAATAATGGGCAGGTCATGCAGCAGGAAGCAGAGAGACAGGCTCAGCGGCCTGGCCAGTCGGGTAGGCAGCACGCCGTACTCCAGTGAATAGCCATGTGAACCCGATATGAGCAGGAAACGGAGCGGTGGGACAGGCAAGCACATGCAAATGAGCCTGAGCTTCAGCAAGCCAGGGGCTCGAAGCCCAGAGCCTGAGGATAAACGGGGGGGGGGGGGGGGTTCCCACAGCGGCGTTGCAGCCAGAGAAACCAGGACTGGGCCAAAAGGGACCTTCTTCTACAACTATACAGGGCTGGTGAGTTTCCCAGCTCACACAAAGGATCCCGAAACAGGCCCAGAGCAGAAAGGGGCCCCTCGCACAATGGGGAGAGGGGAGAAGGAGCCCACAGGGGGGCTTATCTGGGACCCCCACATCGGTGACCATGTCACACCCCACAAACAATCATCAGAATGCTGGGAATGAAGACGCCACACTCGCAGGAACGGACGGGTTGAATACCCACGATTCATGCTCTCATTTTAGAGGAGCTCTGACTATTTAAGTGACAGCATGTAAACATAGCAGAAACCCCCCCCCACACACACACAAACACACACACACACACACACACACATACACACTTGAATTAAGCCACCCAACAGCAAATGCCAGGAAGTGTGCTGCTGAAAGTCATCCTACGGAGGACATTCTAAACAGCAGTTCAATTTTTATGTCCGTATAAATTCAGCTCTCCATAGCAACAGCACACAATATACAATCTGTTATGTAAAACAACATGTCTATTATGGTCCTGGTCCTGCCACGGACACGTGGGACCTCGTCTCTCTGAGAGTCGCCGTTCTCCCTCTGGTTCCCACACCAAGCCCTCGGCAAACGAGGCTCCACCCTCCCTGTCAAGTCACCGCCGAGGACCAGGCAAACGGCCACGCGTTGGTCAGCTGAATCCAAGCAGTCTTTGCCACTGGCCACTGCTGATGTTCCCAGAGGATCCATACGGTGACCCATCAGAGGTCAGGAGGTCTGAACCCAAAACTAACTGCTGCATGATCTGACCCCAAGTACCCTGAGGTGCAGAGGGACACACACCCACAAACACACACAAATCCATCCTTCCTTTAACTGCTTATCCTAGCCAACATCACGGAGGGCCTTGTTGGGAAGGGGGGGGGGGAGGCAGTCCATCACAGGGTTTCATGTTAATTATGTGCTAAATAAATAGTGGAGCGCATATCAAGGGCATGGATATGGACAACTTTTGCCATTACCATCAGAATATAATCTCACTGTGAATCAGGCTGGAAACCTCTGTCCTACAAACATGTTCACGTCATGGTCAGACTGCTTACCAGGGGCGCCCACCCAAGACCACTGACAATTCGAACGCTGGTGCCCACCCAACGTATCCAAATGTCCAGCCCAGGGACATACAAGTACATACACTTACACAAATGCTTTGGGCAATTTAGAGATACCTCATGTCTTTGGACCATAGAAGGAAACCGAAGTAGCAGAGAAAAACCTGCATGACATCAGGAGGTCATGCAAACTCCACACCCACAATGCAGCAGGAGGATTCGAACCTGCAACGGTGGGGCTGTTCAGAGAGCTAGCCAACAGCACTGCCCCTTCAGCAACTGCATCACGCCTGAACACAAGAACGCAAATGCTGACTGCTGCCGTCTATAGTCAAATATTCCTTTGTCATTCACAACCCTCAAAGAATCAGTTAAGTGTCAATCTTAATATAGGAGCCACAAATATAGAAATCCCTAGGGATCCCCTACAGGCCGAGCCCCATTCGCACCAAAATAGCATGTCCCAATCTGAAAAGAGTGGCATACTTTACAGAAAATAATTAGGGGGTGTTCACAGTGAGCCAGCAACAAGGAGAAAACATAATAAAGCGATCAGGATTATATATAAGGCCTATAGATACACCATATAGCTATGAAACAGCCCCAAACAGTGAAACAAAACAAAAACAAAAAAACAAGACAAACAAACACAAACATACACGCCACCCAGAGTGTCTGTGGTTTTAGTTTCACACCAAGAAACATCTTTAAAAGCAACACTGGCAGTTATTTCAGTTATTCCCTAAGCGACAGACAGCGAGCAAATCAGCCGGGGTCAAATAGAGAAACCTCTAACAGGAACACACCCCTTTGCAATTTTTCCCCCCCTGTACCGATGCACTTCCTTATTATTTTAACATGCTAGAGGTTCTGACAGATGGACCAAATCATGGAGATCTTGTCAGAAAAAAACATGCAACACCGACTTATGACCGACTGAAAGAGCTCCAGGATTGACGAAGCCGGTTTCCATTCGTATCAGACTGCAGGAAGCACCGGTATTACAGGGGAAATGCAGTAATTAGAGTATTTACAACTGAGCTTGTTCCAGGTAAACAATCACAGTATGATATTTATAGAGATATGGTGCATAGTGTATATATAGATGCAAAAATGCAAAAGACTAAGAGAAAATGTGAGACAGAAAACTAACAACTAAAGGGAAGAAGATCGATGAAACTTGCCAATAAATCAATTTGACTGATATTATCTGACATTTCCAAGATGGATCGACGCAGTTCTTACTAGACTGTCTCTTGGGTGATATTTCTCTGTATCGCCTGTCTGCTGTCTGGTGGAGAGCAGAGCTCACCCAGCTGTTCTTTCCCCTTTCGGGTCACTAATTGGAAGCGCAGCCAAAGCCGGCTCCTTCACTGCCATCTGCCTGTCATGTTTTATCAGTCTTACTTGGACAAAAGTGGCATCCAAATAAAATGAACAGAAAGAAGGCAGTCCAGAGTGGGCCAGTCACTCAAGCTGCACAAATGATAAACAGCGCTCACATCTGGCGGCTTAACGCCCCAAGAAAGTCCGATATTTATAGCACGGCAAAACGAACCGTGAAGGGAGTGGTTCCCCTGAGCTCAGAGGCGGCACCTTCAAACGGTTCTATCCATCACTGATGCCCAACGGCAGATCAGAGCTTATAAAAACAAAAACCCTCCTCTTGTGACTTGCCTTTTGTATTTTACAGTAACAACCAGCTGACTTGACTTATGCCTAATATACCAGTGTCTTCATGGTCCAGAACATGATTTGGAACAGACCTCCATGTGTCCTTCCCAGGGCTAAGACATTACATTATCATATTTCTTCAGGGGTCGTCTTCAAACAGACAACCTCATTCATGAATCGCTCGAAGGAGGAGGAAGGGGATCGGAGGGAGAGCGAGAGGAAGGGTTAGGGCTCCAGCAATGCAAATGATTGTTCAGGGAGGCCAAAAAAACAGCTTAACTCGATCTGTGCTTTTGTGGGAGCAAAGAAAAGCGGAAGAGCGATGTCACCCTGTGCTGAACAGAGGCAAACGGCTATCGAATGGCAACGTTATTAATGATTATTCACCGTGTGAACTGTGCTGCAGCACAACAGAGCACAGAAAAAGTCAATGTGAAACCATATGTTCAAAAAATGAAAGGCCAAACAAGCAGGTGTCCCACTCTGCTCACCTTAAGTCATCTGTCACATTGCTTTTGTTTTTAATTCTATGCATCATACAAACAGCACCAAAGCCCTCCAATTGCCTTTGGCGATTCTTTCCACAGACCACACGTCCTTTTTGTGTGCTTTGTTGACAAGAACAGCAGTGTAAAAAAAAAAGAAATAAAACATACAATAAAAGATCATTTACCAGTGACAGCAATGAGAACTACAGTATTTATTTTCATTTATAAGCACTGAACTACAGCAGACGCTTTTGTGCAAAGCAACATATAAGTGAGGCAAATCTCACTTTACAAACATACGGCTGTCAAGCAGTCGACTAGGCATAAGTGCAGCTAGGCTGAGCTTCCAGTGAATGGCCAGGTACAGCTAGGCTGAGCTTCCAGTGAATGGCCAGGTACAGCTAGGCTGAGCTTCCAGTGAATGGNCAGCTAGGCTGAGCTTCCAGTGAATGGCCAGGTACAGCTAGGCTGAGCTTCCAGTGAATGGCCAGGTACAGCTAGGCTGAGCTTCCAGTGAATGGCCAGGTACAAGTGTAAGCAGGACTGGAGCAAGAGCTACAGAACATCTAATTAAAGCAAGAACCTAATCAGCCTACTATTCAAATAGCAGAAAGTGCTGCATTAAGAGCATTCAGGGTAAGGGAAGTGATATTAAACTAGTAGAAGTATTTCTGGACAACCATAACAACCACATTACTCATGGTAAAAGTGCTGAAGACTTCTGAGACACACAAGAGCAGGGCCTCGAGCTTCCACTGAACACGTGTGCAGAGAGCACAGAGGCGAAGTCATGCTTGCATGGGTGTGGATTTGTCAAAAAGGATCCTTAAATACGGTTAAACAGCCTGCACACTTTTACAGTGGCAGAGCAGAACCTCCCTGAAAATCAGAACCAGAAGGGGCCATTTTCTCCCAGCGAAACCATCACTAAGCCATACACGCACACACATGAAGCCACACTACGCCACGATTCTGGCTTGGGTACAGATGTACAGTCATTCTGAATACCACATCTGACAGCTCCCACACTGACTGAAAAGCATTTTTCATAACAAATGATTTATGAGTGTATGCATTTGCATTCAGCGTTAACACACTATGGGGTTAAATAAAATTACTAATAAGTCCAAAAGAAGTGACAGTGATGGCCAGTTTGGTCACTGATTGCCAGCTCAGCCTGCTTTTGACCTTACCGGCTGTTTCCATAGCGACAGCTCACAGGGTATTGCTGGACGGTACATGAACTTCAGGCCGCACCAAGGATTTCAATCGACAGTCATCTGCAGGATGTGTGATCTGGGCAACGTGTGCCACTCCTCAGCAACCCCTCCGTCTTCTCACAACAGCTGAACCTCAGAATGCAGAACATGCACCCTCGCTGCCCCCAACAGCACAACACACCCATCTGCTGAACTCCTCCCAGATCGTGGGGGGGGGGGGGGGGGGGGGGGAGGGGGTTGTATGAACGACTGAGGTCACATACTCTGATGGGAGATCCATTGATTTGATTCTTAAAACCATGTGGAAAGTAAAAATGGATGCTAAGATTATTCGCATATGTCTGTTCAGGTCTCATATTCAGTCCACCAGGACACCAATAACAGCTCCATAGTTCCACTGCATGTCCTGTATCATGCCTACAGAAAACAGCTGAGATTCCTTTAGACTTTGCAGAATGACCCTGTTCAAACTCAAGCCACTCCTCTATAGAGAATGACAGCCACATGCACCCAGAGCCATATTTATCCAGTACTCTAGGGAATAAAATTTTCCAAACATTTGCTGATGGTTGTTCCTGAATGGGTCACACAGTTATATCAGACACATTAGAAGAAAATTAGGCCAGGTTTGCTAAACACTAATCGTTTCTCTGTGAATGTGGTCTAAAATCCCCTTTCAATCTTACACAATAAAAATGCTTTTTAAATAACATTTAGATAGTCTCTCTCCGAGCAGGGAGACTAAAGAAGGTCCATCAAAGATTCCGGAAAGTACAACAGTGGTTACAGTGGCTAACTGTACCACAAATCCAGTTAAAGTGTATTAGATTTTTTTTATTTATTTGTTTATTTACTAATAAACATAAAAAATATATAAATAGAATAAGAATATTCTTTAATGGATTTCACCATTCAGCCTTTTTAAACACATGTAGCTGACTATGCCTCTGTCACAGGGCATGTAAGATATTGAGGGAATCTGTGTAAACATGCCAGACCAGCAATGCAGTGGTCATCTGGATCTTGGGCTTCCTCAAGCTGAATTTGGAGCCCACCTGCCAGTTCATGACCCCCCCCCCGTGTCACCACCCTCAAAGCTGGGGGCTTTCCACTCAACGGTCACAGAAAAAGGAGGTTGCAATGCCCACAAGCTGCCTAACAGCACTGGGGATTACAGCCTGGGACTGCTGACTACATCAGCCCCTGGCACTCTCAGTGTATAAAAGGCTGCAGCAAAACTAGAATCAAGCAAGCCATTCGCGCCATCAAAAAAGCATCTACACTGAACAGCACTTCAGCTCTCTAAAGCATGACCTGTTCGATTATTTTTAAGGCAAAGTAAAAGTTTACATCCCTCTTACAGGACTATAGCAAACCTGACGATTTCTGAACTGTACTGGCAGGACATTTCTTATTTCTAGCTTAAATATATACGCCCAGCTGAGCGACACCTACAATTACGTTAAACAAAACGCCAGAGTGTTACCATCCAGGAAAATGTCGCCATCCAGCCAGATGCTACTTACCTACCGGTGTGTCCCGACGGTCCGATTATAAAAGCAACCGTAAAACCTCCACGGTTCCCTGCCCTCCACCTAGCAGATCCTAAAAGTGGGCGACAGCACCCAGATGTGCCAGCGGAACAGGAAAAGCTGGATGTATCGTCTCACTTTGTACCCACGCACCCCTGAAGCTCTATCACCATCGCTGTCACCCCGCAGCAAACGGCACACCGCCGCACCTGTCACCGGCCCTCATTACAGTCAGTTAAACAGCCGCCAAGCCCAGTCAGCACCGCAAAGGCCACCCATACACACGGTGCGTCAGCAATTAATTTTTAATGCAAAAGTGGTTGTTTAAAGGAGATATTTCGTGTTTTTTTCCCCTATTTTTAAACAAACAAAACTAATGGTGCTCATTTGGATGAACGCATTTCTAACCAGGCAGGGCTTTACTTGTTGTCCCGTCCCACAAAAGTGCAGTTTAATAAGTGAACTGAGCAGACGCCACCCACAAACCGCCCGGCTCCGGGCGCCGTGGACCCGCATATAAGCCACCTGGCTCCGGCCGCCATAGACCCGCATAAACGGCCCGGCTCCGGGTGCTGTGGACCCGCGTAAGCCTTCCAGCTCCAGTGGTACGCACGCGGACCGGCTACAGTGCTCTGCAAGCGGACTCACCTCCGGGCTCCGGCAGATGCGCCGTGACAGGACGCGGCTGGCAGCCCTGCACTCCCTAACAGCTCGCGTCCATCACGAGGTAAACAGGCGAAAGCGGCGCTCCGAGGCTGCCGCGTCTCTCGAATTGATGCAGGACGAGGTGAAAAACAGTAACTGCTATGATTTATGGCCACTCTTCGACACCGATCGTCCCGAATCAGCTTGGACTGAGCGCGTCCTCCCAGGCAGCCGTTAAACCCTCATTCAGCGAGGCTCACCAGCCCTGAGCTTTTGTATAGAATAGAGAACCGATCCCAGATCAGCTCAAAGTTATATCCAACACAGAGAGCAGCACCGATCCCAGATCATCCCGCTGTGAGCTCCCCCATGGAAATGATGACTGGCCCCTGATCAGCGCAAACTGAGCTTTTGTATGTAGAGGAGAGCCGATCCCAGATCAGTCCGCTGAGGTCATTGTGTCTATACCATGTTTACGCAGCTGTGTGGCGTTTCCTTAACATTTACTTTGTACGTCGCTTCGTATGTACCGGGTAAAACCGTAAAAATCCATTTGGAATGAACTTATATTTACAATTTCATTAACTTACATTTCATTAATACATTCATACATAATAAATTTAATTAATTTTAGTAAATACATAAAATTTTGTTCTAGAAAAATAATCACATCGATTTGAACTTCAGCTGTGGTTTATCGATAGACTTCTCAAACGTCGCACACTTGTAACCACTACAGACTTAAAATTAATTGCATTTTATATAGGGGCAGCACAGTGGTTAGTAGCATAATCTCACTCCTTCAGGATTGGTGGTTTGGTTCCTGCCCTTGGCTCTGTCTGTGTGGAGTTTGCATGAACTCCCCGTGTTCACAGTCTTGTGAAGGTAAATGAATTGATGTCTCAGACTCACTCAGACTAGTGCCCACTGGCTTCAGGCTTACTCTACCCTCCTGTGTGACAAAGTGTATTTTTTAAACATATTATTTATAGAACAGTCCTCTTACAAATTGATGCCCAAATCGCACACAATAACACCAGACACTCAGACTTAGTGTCTTTTGAATTTGCTTTGTAATCATGGTGGTTAAATCTGGCAGACGGACAAAAATCTAAAGGTAAAGCAGAAACACTGTGCAGTGCAGAAAAAAACACCTGCACACAGGAGCATTCAGCTGCACTAAATCTTATCCTGTAATTACAGCTGTCATCAGTACCCCCCCC